GAAGAGAATTGAGAGATCCGAATCGCGCGTTTGCCGGAGAGGTTGCTTTCTCGCCGGGAGGGTTCAAAGTCGGAAAGAGATCGGACGCGCGGAACAGCGTCGAACAGACGAAGCCGTGGGGCTTCGTTTCCCACCGAGATAGATGCTCGTTTGGTCGTGTAACGTAAGTCGATATTGCGTCGTCTCGATATTCCTGGTCGACACGAATGACGACACACGCGCGTAGTTGGTCGGCCACGGTGTGTACGGCGCACACGTACTTGCTCGTCGGGCCCGTGAACGCTGGCAAAGCCCGCTCCTAACGTCCCGGAGCAGAGAGAGAGAAGTCTTACGCATACGAGCGGCCAGGAAACTCTTGTTGCCCCGCATATGTATCGCTTACCGTCACCGATTTCTTCTTGCGCCAGGTATCCTGTGCCGGGGATTGTGTTTCTTCCCTGCGACGTCTTCGGGATCCGCGGCTGCCAGGATCAGCTCCGCGGATGCCTGGGAAATCTGCGAGACGATCCTTCGTAACGTCCCCGATCGACAACGATCTCTCGGGCACCCTTCGATCTCGGGCACCCTTTACCAGAAACCGAAGATAGAGTCGCGAAGATCTTGGCTCTCGGAACCCTAGAATCTCTCGTAGAGCTGCGTCGTCGGCAACTCGAATCGCGACAAGATCCTAGATCCTAGATCCCGTCGGGGCTCGATTCGAGGATCGCGCAACAGCCTCTGCTGTCGCGGATCGGTCCGGCGAGCCATTAGCCGACGCAACGAGACGTCTCGAGGCATCCGAGCGATTTCCGCGCGGATTAGTAGACCGATCTCCTCGGGGGAGGAAGATGAGGCCGAGATCGAACCGCGCCGCTCCGGCTAGCGGTAGCACGGGGCCGGTAGTGTGGGGCAGAGTTAGGTGGGAGAGAAACCGAGAAACGACGAAATGACGGCGGTCGATGGACGGTTCGTTAAGTAGATGGCTGGTCGGGGGACTAAGCACCAAAACCACCTCACTGTGGTTTCACACCCGCAGAGCAACAGAGAAAGAGAGAGCGAGAGAGAGAGAGAGAGGGAGAGAGACAGAGAGACAGACCGAGAGAGACGCCGAAGAGAAGGAAGTAGTAAACAACTCGGAGTTCCTTTGGTCAGGACTCGTGCGTTCCTTCGGTCAGGATCAACGCGGCGAGGTTACTATCGCAACTCCTCGAACTCAGTCGCCTGAGAAGCGGCTGGGCACCGTGACGATGCCCTGGCCATCAATGAATGCTGAGTCAACGACGAGAAAGCCCCGTAGATCGTTGATCCCCGATTCGATCCACTCCTTCCCGATCGTTGCGATCTTCACCGAACTGTTTCGTCCTCGGTGGCGCGAATTGATTTTCCTGGTGATTGATTGTACATTTGCTGCTGGCTACCGCGTTCTTCTCCGTTGCAATAATCCTTGCTACGAGCAACAGGATTTCTGCCAGTCAAGATGCTTCTTCTCGATGAAGTTGTTCGACCTTAGTTTCCGACGTATTTATTGGAATAAATTGACTGTGCATGCACACTGATCTGGAACTTGACGAACGAGATTCAATCCGATCTTTTTATCGCCGAAGAATCTGAAGCGTCCGTCGGAATAAATCGACTTTACGTGCACGGTGATCTAAAACTCGCTGCAACTTAATATCGAACGAAGTGTAACGTGCCTTTTATCTTGGCTCGAGCTCGATATCGTCTTGGATACCGTGCCGTGATATCGTCTAGAACGGCTTTTCGGCAGCGACTGCCCCGGCCACGTCCGAACGGAAGATGCTGATCGCACTTCCTCTCGACCGAAGTTTTCGTACAGCTTCTAGTTCATAGAACCAGCACCCCTCCTCTTCCCTGAAGAACCCACGAAACGGACTATTATCCAACAGATGGTCGCCCGAACGCCGACCCACGGGCTGGTGCGCCTTTGTTTTGTTACCGTTGTTCCGGTAATTGCGGCAAATACACGGCCATTTTCGGTAATCACCCGCACGCCCCCATCCCCGAGGCGGTCCCCTTTGAGAATTCCGAAACGACCTCGACCTTCCACGGCCGGTAGGCGTAACGACAGTTTTACCAGGGGACCCTCGACCTCGACCTTATCTTTCACGCCGCATCGGCTCGCCCTGGACCCCCGATACCCGGCGCGGAGTGTCACCTTTTCGGAACCATGATATTATTCTTCTAAACCGAAAGCAACGATTTCGCGCGAATCGATCGATCCTAATGTTCCGCGCGATTTCATTCGGTTCTTCGGTGCTTTTTTTCAATTCGGAAACGAAACGAAAGAGCGCGGAAAATAACGATAGAATCGGCCGCGGCAGTTTCGTTTAAAATTCCTGGTCGCGAAAGGAACTTACCTCGGCGTCTTTTTAGCCTCTAGTTAAGTCCTCAAAGTTTCTACTCGACCACAAGACGAGCGAATCACACGATTCCCCGTCCGCTCCGGGCAAACCGTCGGTAAAAATGCTCGCACACGAGAACCGTCCGGAGGACGGCAACCTGAAAAGACAACCGGCTGCAAGGAAATTCGACGGGAAAGATTCCGCGGAGACGCGAATGCAGATCCGGAGGCCGTTTACGAGGGAATTAGCAACCGTTAATTACAAAACCACGGCGGCGTGGTGCGGCGCGGCGCGGCGGCCGTTTTCTTGCGCGTCGCAACTCTCCTCGCAAGCTCCGGAGATTACGAAGCGTGCAGCCCGAGTCAATGGCGAAACCGGAGATTTATCGGCTATTAAAATCGACGGTTTTCTAATCAATTCTCTCTGCGAGTACCGCGCCTTGACCTGGCCTACCTGTTAGTTTCCATTATACCGTTTTCTTGCGCGGAACACGTACACACAGAAATTGGCACGCGACACATGAAACTAATCTTATCCGTCGAACAATGTCCACCATTTTTACACGGAGTCGAGAAAAATCTCGACAGCGTGAAATATTGTTCTACAGCGTTGCGCAATCCTTGTAGAAAGTTAGATGAGGAGGACTGAAGAAAGATCTAAACAAAATCGCAATTTCCGACTCGAATAAAAGCTGCTTGCTTCGCACAATTTTAAAGGATTTCCACCCCAACAGCTTAGGTACACGAAGTGGCAGAAAAATGTGGTGCAAAATGATGAAAAATGTGTTTGGAACTTCGCAGATTTTGTCCGGGAGATTTTTAAGTAGATTCGGCCGATGGTCGGACAAATTGCTCGTTCCAAAGCGAGCTGCTTTTAATATTATTCCATCTTAAATAAACTACGGAAATTAAACGATGCTGCACGCCACGGAATACAATTGTTCGAGGCAGTTCTAAGTAGATTTAGCGAACGATCAGATAAAAATCTCGGTCGAAGCGAGTCGCCGTTAAAGTCTGAAGGCAATCGCCTCGCGCTCTGTTATTTTCTCGTGCAAGTTTGTGGAAGGATGGGCCGTAGCGAGAGATTTTGAATTTTTGGCAGAGAAGAGTCGTAAAATCCCGGAGCACCCGGGACTTCTCGGTAGCACGGGTCTTCCCGGAATCGGCAGAACGGCGCCCTTGAAGGAGCGGGTTTTGTCATCGAGCGTTCCGTCGAGAATCACCAATGTCCGGACTTTCCACCGGCTGTTCCCGCTGCCAAACGAGCCTAGCATCGCGTATGCGACTCCGCGACGATGATACAAGCGGTTCTTTGAACTCCGCCGTCGCGTCGCGTCGGAGTTTTACGGGGAACGTGTTCCACATTCTGCCGTGACACTTGGTTTCGTGGGAAATTAACGAACGGGGATTCTGCAGCGAACAGTCCTCGGAGGTCTCCCGAAAAAATCTGACGCGTTGCGCGAACGGCAAATGATTCGCGCTTTCAATAAAAATTAAGAAAATTATTTAGTCTCCCGTCAAAAGTTTCGTTTCATCGTTTTCGCATAGAATTTGCCGAAAGACGAAACCGAACGGTCGCAGAATGAGCGAATAAATAATGTTGACGTGGAAGAAATCTTGCGGTTTTCGAGTTTCGGATCGAAAAATAACGATCGACGGATGGTGGAAGAGCGGAAAACGATAAAAACTGGCACGAAGGGGGCGTTTTAAATAAATCCTCGAAGGCCGTCGGGTACGGGAAGCAAACTCTAGTGTTACAGATGCCGAATGAAAGGTGAAACGGCTCATCGAGGGGAATAAAGGAAAGAAGAAGTATTGTGTGTCGCCGGCGACTTTTTCGTGAAACATTATTCCCCGGATCTCTCGATCCGCGATCGTACGCGAATATATGTATTTCATAATCATTCCGATTCGTCGTCGTTCTCATCGCAGCAAGAGAGCCTCGTCGAATCACCGACGATGACTCAGCGAGCCGGGCGACGTTTTCCTCTTCGCGTTTCCTCGCTTTTACCGGGCTGCTATGAGTCTCGTTTGGCCACTTGGAAATTCATCGGACGTCCGACGGAAGTAGCGAGGACCGCGATTAATATTTCAGGAGATGTTAATCGCTGCTAATGATTTTACAACGCTATCTCGAACCTGCAACTTTTGACGATTTTGCAGGAGGTGTCGACAAAAATTACAGAGACCGTAGAATCGAAGAAACAATTATTATTAATCAGTTGGCTGTTGCAATTTCTTCGAGAAGCGTGCGAGTTTCTGTAATTATACCATACATGTTCGATTTGCTTCGTAGTTTAATAAATTAATATATAATTAAATAAAGAATTTCAAAGGTATATATTCTTCTCAATCGATCAGCTATTTTCAACGAGTATACTCTCGTCACGAAGAAATGGCGACATTTTCTGCTAGAACGGATATACTCGCCGAAAACAGCGAACTGGTCAAGGAAAGAAACTGTCGAAGGAAGCGGAGAGAGACTTAATTAGTAAAACGTGAGTCATTTGATGTAGCCGACGATGTTACTCACTGGAAATCTCGGCGAAATCTTGTCGCGAGGATTACGAACGTTTTTCAAAGGCTCTCGGCTACCTCCATTTTTCCCGATGAATTCCGATTTATCAGGACTGACGATAGGTATTTTATGTGTTCTCAGATACGAGTACAGGGACGACAGAGTGGGCCTATTCATCGTCGGCGCCGTCTTATCCAGCACCTCCAGTGAGCAGCGGTGGTTCCTTTTCGCCAATCCCTGGTGGAGCATTCTCGTACCCTGGTGAACCCCTCTCTCATCATCCTACCACGGAACCCATGCCATTGCCGACTGGTAAGCGTTCCACATTCGCGGCAGTCTGACTAAAATATTATAAAACCTGTTCTAAAGAGAACGTTCGCAGCGTATACCTCCTGTGACGCGGTAGATATTCGGAGAACCTGTTCTTCCTCTTCTGACGTAACTTACGACTGCTTTATTGCAGTATTTATAGTATTCGTTGCCTCGAAATTTCCTCGTTGGAAATCCTAGTTGACAATGCTTCGTTCCGAGAGTCCTCGACCGTCTACGATTGTCGAGGAGATTCTCCGGATAATTAAATTACAATTCTGTGCAGAAGAATCTTTGCTGACTCGTTCCAGCTATTGTTGAACCTGGCGGCATACGATTCTAGACAAGCGATCAGGTTCTTTGAACCGTCTCCACTTAGCTCCGATCATTACCTCGATTAATATCGATCGGAGGTACAACGCTTACTAACACTCGTAGAATCAAGTATATTCGATACATAGCTCGAGCTACCTAAATCCTCGACAACAGCGTTAGTTGATTAGCAAAAAATAAAAAGTTCCAAAATGTTTAACCTCCGTAATCCTCGAGCATTAAGATCCTAATCTACTCACGATGTCCGCCAAGGAACTGCATCCGAATCGCATCCTGAATCATATTAAAAACTCGTAACTTCGAGATGCACGATCGACGATCCTCCAACTTCCTCGAGCTTCTAATAACACTCTGTTATATTCTCGCCTCTCTAACAAAACATGGAGACGTTGCCGGAAGGTCCAGCATCCATGATCCTCGAGCACGAAGACTCCAATCCTCTTCCAACATGTTTAGAACCCCAGAGAAGAGAACCCAGCGAGATGAAAGCTTCTATTGCCATTATAGTGCTTCCCTCGGAGAACCAGCAGGACACCTACACGCCGAACTGCGTGTCGATGTACCCGGGCCACGCTGCATCGTCCTCTTCGTTACCCCTGGTGCCCAGCAAGTCCAGCGACCCGGACATCTTCGCCGGCGGAGGTACCGGAAGCGGTAGTCCTGGCTACCATTACAGTTCCTGGACCCCAGGACCCGTCACCCCGGTCCCAGTTGCCTCGCACAACTACAACCCGAACTACCAGGGCTACTACAACAACCCCAGTCAAAACTACATCAGTCCGGCGCCGATGGTCCTCTGTCCCCAGCTGTACAGCACCGTGAACCAGAACCAGATTCATCTGCACCTGCACGGCGACCTCAGCGACGAGCAGGTCACCATCGCCGGCAGCAATCTGACCATCAGCAGCAACAGACTGGAGATCGGGGTGCTCGGCGAAGAGAACGAGCAGAGGAACGACGTCTGGAGACCTTACTGAGCGTATCCTGAAAAAGTTGGGACTCCGTTGGGACTCCTTGGTGAAGACTTTGAATTCGGCGGATGAGGACGGTCGAAATTATACCCGGTGTTTAATTGTGATATCGACGATGTGTACTAGGTCTCGAAGAGACTTCCGAGGACTTTGGTGGTGATTCGGAGTGTAACGGTATAGATGACAGGCGACTCTAAGAGTCGGCTGGAACGGTGATGTCGAGTGTTTCCGAGCGAACTGATCGGATCCGAGAGTGATCGGTGTCTCGAGGACGCGTTCGACGAGGTTGATAGTCATGTAACGTTGTAAATACACAGATATTTTCCATGAAATAAAGTCTTGCCTGAACAGGTTCCTGAATCCCCGTCGAGTTTCGCTCAGGTCCTCGTTTCTTCTCGTTTCTGGGATGCGGCTTCCGGTCCAGGGCGGAGGATCGGTGTCGGAAACGGTTTCCGGGGGGGGGGGTTGGGAACGAAGGAGAGGGAAACAAGGATGAAAGGATCGCCTTCGTTAGCGGCCGAATATCCTTTTCGGCAGCGGCAAGTAGAAAAATCTTTATCTGGCCGTTCGCATGGGGGCAAACCACAGAGAAACGGCTGGCCTCCCCCCTTCGGGGCGCGCGGAGGCCACGGATAATCCTTTTCACGAGCGCAGCGAGCTCTATTTAATATTTAAAGCACGCTGGAAATGACGAACGGATGGATAGTTGCGGTCTACACCGGCCAGCCTCGCAGTGTCCTACGTCCCTTTATTAGCAATCCGGCCTGGCTCTGGTGTCCTCGTTCCTCCACCGGGATCTCTGGATGGCCCGGGACCCCATTTTTGTTGCCGTACGCTGCCTCGGTGCATTAAACTTCCAGAGAATTAACGCGCAAATCCGTGAAACTCCGACGAGAATTTTTATTCGTTTCGTTGGCGCGTCGATCGCACAGAAATAATTATGTATTTAACCGGAGATAAAGTTGCCAAGCGCTGGAAACCGATTGATTTAGATTTCGTAGAGAAGCTTGAACGTATTTAGTCGCGTGTCTTGTCTTCGATCGGAGAAGATTCTATCGCTGGTTAACGATGAATTTCAAGTTAAAAGACGATTCGAAGGTTTCTCGACGGTGTGCGTGTCTCAATGAATTTTGAAGAGCTCCCGGAAGATTGCGTTGCGCAATCGCTGTAGAAAGTCAGCTAAATTGCTCGCCGAAAGAGGAATTAATAGATAAGCCGATGCATAGGACGAAGAAGCAATCATCGTGATTAGGAGGTTGCAGCTACTGCACGTCCATATTTCCCGTTTTCGACTATAATCGCAACGAAAAGGGTAGACCGTTCTGCGAGGTGATCGCCGGGATTCCTTGCCGGCAATTTGTCTTTTCGGTTAAATGCACTTTCCTCCTTCGCAACACGGTGAATTACTCGTAATCATAACTAATACAGAGAGATAACAATCGCGATGTTAAATGTTAAAATCTCGACTCTCTGTCGATTATTTCCCAATGCTTCCTGGAACAGATATCAAGCAGAAAAATCGAGGAACGACTTGGCGGAGAAGTGTACGAAAAGTAGGAAATTACGAGGAAATGTTTCAACCAGCCATCGGCAGCGTCTCCGCTGCGTTTGCACTTTCGTACATCTTTTAGACAGCCGTTTTTATCATCTTCTGTAAAAATAACTTGTACATCGTCAAATTTGTTTGTATTTTTTTTAAAAATCTGTTTCAAACATGAACGAATGATTTGTAAAGTAATTTCTGAAAATGAGGAACTGCGTACAGAATCGAAGTAGGGGAACGATTCGTAGTACGTGAGTTCTCTACGAAGAACTCGATTCCTCGCATGTTTCATCGAAGATGAAACGTTTCCCGGTGACTTCTTTCCCTTCCTCCTCGGTCATGTTTACTGCCCCAGCGAATGGGACGCCAGGACAGGAATAAAAGCGTGGAATAAGCGGAGAGGCGGCCGTCGCTCGTAAGCTTTCCTCTTTACGAGGACGACTCGACCGCAGACAAGAGTCTCCCGCCCTTTCCTGTGCCCGTTAAAATGAAGTAAAACGCTGTCCGCCTCGCAGGAAATAGTCGACACCTTCGATACATCTCGAAATCCGTCGTTCACCCGACACGAAACTCTTTTGCACCCTTCCAACCGAAGAATGCTCACCCCTTTTCGCCGAGACTCTTATCCGAAGCCCATCGAGCTCGAACCGAATTATCTTTTCGGCAACGTAGCAGCGCTGAAATATTTCAATTTTAATCTCAAACGAGGTATAAAATTGTTCGGCTGAAAGAAATTGTTCAACGAAAGGTGTCGAGGGGGATTTATCGATACTCCATGGAAATTATGGGGAACGATTCATAATAAATGCACCTTTTATTCGTTCATACTGTTTCTCGTACACATAGGCAAACTGATCAGCCTTTTAGAGTCCCAGTTCGTACTTGGTTACACGGAAAGGAAACAGGGTTGTACATAGGCACGTTTTATTATCGATTTATTAATTTGTCCGGAATTTTGTTCATTTCTCTGCTCCGGTATTTTTTGTCCAGACAAACGAAACGTCTCGACCTCGTTCAACAATATTATTATGTATTTTAACACCGAACGGCCGAGAGTCCGGGACAGAATCGCGGAGAGAAACACCGACGTGAAACGGTGATCAATTATTTTTGGTACAACGCAACGGCCGGACAAACTTCCGTCTTCTTCTGTTTGTTTTTTCTTTTCCTTTTTTTTTGTTTTGGTATCTTTCTCTAATTTACAAACGGCATACAAAATATATTGTATAATATATTAATATCGAAGCGACAAAGGAAACAAAGATCGACTAGCCGTCCGCTAAACAACACGGAAAATTAACGCGAAAAATACCTAGCTGCTCCCGAGGATCACCGAGATCGATCGAGAGTACTATTTACAATAAAATCTAACAATACTCTTCTTCTTCGTCTGCTACAGCTTCTTCGTTCTTCTTCTTCTTCTTCTTCTTCTTCTTCTTCTTCTTCTTTAATTCTTTGGCAAAACACCGAAGGATCTGTGTATATGCATCCTTCTCGAAATTCTTTCTTGTAACATTTCTAAACGTGTCTAACTTTCGGATTCAACGTTAACTCTTAACTTTTCTAGCCCACTAATTACATTTAGATTCTCGTTTCTTATTAGTCGTACAAATAATGCTTGATAGATTGCATATGGTTGGGGGAGGGGGGTGGAAATGCAGCTTCGACTGGAAAGATTTATGAGATGGTGCTCCGTCGTTAGGCAAAATTTCCAAGTAAAACTCGTGCCCTAATCTTTAGCCGATTCTCGATCCAGGCTCAAATATAAATATTGCATACTATCCCCGCGTTATCTATCAATATTTATCGCATTCAAAGATCTCGCAAAATAATAATATTTCATTTCCCAATAAACTCCAACGAAATATCTCGCTGTAGAAGCATAAAGCACGAACGCCGGCGGATTCGATTTTCTCTTCGACTCTGCGATCGAGCGCCACGTTGCAGCGAAACGGAAACGAAAGTGCAGGGGCTCCGGGGAAAGGACAACAGATTCTGGTAGGATTTTCGGGAGCTCGGAATGGGAATGGTAAGTCGAGCATCTCGCGGAATCCATCGCGCTGGTCGCGGGGCCGAGGCCGGCAGCGAGTCTCCGCTGCGACTGGACCGCAAACTACAGGTAAGCGCAAAGAGCATAAAATGAGAATCGGGAGATGTGCGTGCAGAGAGTGGATCGTAAATAAAATCCTTGTCCCTCCGTGTCGACGCGTCCTGTCGCGTCGAGACAAGCCAGAGATCGCGGAGAAAACGGGACACCGTTTCTCTCATCCGCGGAGAATCGGGGATTGGCTATTGTCTGTCGTGTTCGCGTGCCACTTCCGGTCGTCGTTTTCGGCGTCGTTGCATTCGTTCGCAAGCAACGCGACAATTCGCGAGAAATAGTCCGCGATCCTCTAGCCCACTCTTTTGATTCACGAGATAATGGAAGCTGGACGTCGAAGTTATTTCGACCGATTCCGAAGATAATTTGGACGAAGGTTTCGAAGTTTGAACAGTCGCGACGAGACGGTCCCAGCTCCGGCGACCTTTCGCTTTTCTTCGCCGATGAACGCTGGAACGATGAAATTAACAATAAGAACGAATCACTCTTCTGAAATCGAAGAATCGTCTTCACGTTTCCAGTTGGTATTCTGTGGGAAACAGTGGACAACCGTTCCTGGAGGTCCTGGCCCACGGGGTGCTCGTGAGGATCTGCACGCCGTTCACGAACACCGGAAGCAGGGGTGTCAGTTTGTCAGTCTGAAACAACGTTTATTACTCTCTGAGCATCTATGCTATCGATCTACAAAAGGCTATAAAACGCTAGATCCTCGTCCACTTCGTCGAATACTCACCGATAGAGCCAGAGTCCAGTCCAAAACGGTGCACAGAGTCTCGGCCCAGGCCCTCCTGTGCGCCTCGCTGTCTTTGTGCACGTTGGTCTTCCTCTGGAACGAGCTGTCCCTGATCGAGACACCGTCCGGTGCATCCTCCCCGTCGTCCTTCAAGAAAGGATTCATCCTGAAGCCCCTCTTGCTGCGTCTGTAATCCTTCAACAGTTCGTCGACGTCGTCCAAGCAGGCCGGAGAAATATTCTTCTCTTCGATCTTCGAAGACGCCCTCGGCGACATCTCGAGATCGTTCGACGACACGGACACGGATCTCTTCCTCAGTTCCATGACCGATCTGCACCTCGAGGCCGCAGCGTTGGACGACTCGAACTTCTGGTAGTCCTCGATCTCGCTGGGAACGATGAACTTGAGGGAACTCCGTCTGGACAGGAGACAGGCGTCGCTTCTCCTCTTCTGCATCCTGGATCGCCTGTAGCTGGACATCTCTTCGACGGTTAGGCTGGTGCTGGTTGCCAGCACTTCGGAGACCGAGGTCTCGAAGGATCCCGCGGACTCGGCTCTCCTGAGAGGACTCATCTTGTAGTAGAGATCGTCGGAGCGATTTATCAAGCGACCAGGAGCCGGGGTAATCGAACAGTACCTTCCGTCGATGTAGCCCTCGCTCGAAGTGCCTCCCGATCTGTCGAGGTAGACTATCTTCTCGGTGACGGAGCCTAGGCGAGACACCGGCCTGGAATTGTCGGTTTCCGGCTCGCTGGGTGGGCCAGAGTCGGTGGAATACTCCACCGCTAGGTCGGACAGTCTGAAGCGTCTGATTTCTTCTTCCGGCTCCGGTCCAAGCTCTTCCAGACCGCTCTCGTCGTCGAGATTAGGGTTGTAGGCCTCGATGTCGTCCTGGTCGTCCGTCTGGTCCTCGAGATCCTCCAATTCCTGACGGAAATCCTGGCGATAGTGTTGACGGTAGTCTTGACGATACGCCTGATGGAAGTCCCGACGATAATCCTGATAGAATTCCGGGGGTGCCGGCGTGTTTACGGCCCTGTCGACGATCGGCTCCTTTCTGGTGATCTCCGGATAGTCGTCGGGCTGCGCCACCAGCAGGAAGATCTCCCGTTCGGAGAAGCTGTCGATTCTGGTGTGTTTGCCATCCTTGTCCAGGACCACGTCCACGTAGCTCTCGCAAAGTTCCTCGAACGTGGTCTGAGCCTGTCTCAAATACTTGGACAGCTTCCTAAGATTCTGGGGCTTGTCGTCCGAGCTGTAGGTCAGCAGGGATTTAACCGTTTCGAGGTCGGCCCCGGTGGTTTCTATCTCCCGAAGACAGAGCTCGAAGAGGGTAACGATCTTGATGATCCACGCTGCGCCAGCTTGGCGATAGAGGTTCGCCGGTTGTTGGAGGTTTGCTATCTTTTGCACCAGGAACTTCAGGCCCGGTCGGCAATCGAATTTCAGGGCTGCCGCGTAGGACAGGTCCAGGGCCGAGAGGAAGATGTCGACGTGCTGGCTGGACAAGTACGACAGGCAACCGGAAGTCGAGTCTTTCGGCGACGCCGAGCCCATCGAGCGAGGGATCACGTGGGTTAGGCTAGAATTTCGACTCGGTGTCAGCGATTAGGAGATTTTGCAAAGTTTAATCGATTTAAAGATGCATCGACGATCTCCCGCGCGTTTTTAGAATATAATTTGAAATCGAAGTCGTTACCTACCTGGGAAACGAGGAATCGTTGTTCTGCAAAAGCACACTGGCGATGCAGTGCAGCAGCATCTGGTGCACCAAGAGGCCTACCACCAGCGCCCTCAGTTGCACTCTCACGATATAGAGATCAGGATTGAGCGTAGACCCCACGGAAGGTGGATAGAGCAGAAATACGTACGACCTGTCGTCCGACATGCTCGAGGAGTCTTCAGGGTGTTGTTCCTCCAGGAGGAACACCTGGAGAGCACAAGAACCTGTATTCGCCGGTGATCGAGGTCGATCCTTCGACGCACGATCCTTCCTGAATCCTCGAACCTCTTTCGCGATTGGTCCTCTAGCCTCCGCGACCGGTGTTCGCGGTCGAATCAACGAACTTATTCGGCGACGTGTTTCGATCGACTTCCAGCTCGAGAAGTTGCAGAAGCGATCGTGCGTGGTGTTTCGATGTTGCTGTTAATGGTATGTTAAGTATAATGGTGATGTCTAAATGAGTACGACGGCAGTCCGTCGGTGAATGAGATCGATCGTCGCGGCCGACGTTTTCTATCTCTCGACCTAACAGTGATCCCGTTAACACGCTCGGTCATTGAAAATACGTGTGCATTCTACGAAAGCTGCAGCTTCTAGGATTGGTGTCGTATATCTCATCACGTACATATTATGTGACAGTGAAATTCTAGCCATGGACTCAAGCCATGGATTTTAATGGTGATACGCAAGACCGTGCCAAGTTAACTCTGAATGATGTCTCGGCAAACGACGGGGTCCTTCTCTGCTCGATCGATTCGAATCGATCGCGGTGTGGATCTACCAGAAAGAAGCGCGAGTAACGATTGCTCTTGTAATCTACGATGACTCACAGATTTTCTCGCGGTAACACTTTTCTTCGAAAATTCATCCGGCAACGACGTGCCATCTTTTGGAGCCCTCGAATCTTGTTCCGACGACGTTAGAATCGAACCGAATTATTTACACGTTATTAGACTATGCAAAAGATTCTACAAGAATTCCCTGAAATGCTTCGATCTACGCGCTTCAAGCCCACAAAATGCAAACGTTAAGAACGAAAGAAAATGTTGCTTGGCAAACTTCGCTACGGGAATATCGATTAGAAAGAAAATTGTTACAGCGAGTTCGAGCTGCAAAATCGTGCAACTCGGGAGCCATCGTACGATTTTCCAAATCAGTCGTCGCTTTGAAAATCTATGAGTCGTTGGACGCATCCGGAAGTCCTGTAGAAATGGTGCAAAGATGATCGTAGGAGGAAAGTTGCTAGATTTCTCGAGGGGGGCAGGACGAAGGACCTCGCCGAGGAGGTACTGCAGCCTGACCTGTGCCTTCTACCAGCGAGTGCAAACATCTAAACGAGGTGATCGGTTACCAAAAACATCGTGTATTCGTCTCTCTCTCTCTCCGCGTCGACAGGCTTACTTCGACTCCTCTCTGTTCCCGGCCGCCATTTTCCAACGGACACGATCCCGGCCGCGGCCGCGGTCGCCGACTGAGGGAAATCAAGGGGGTGTGCAATACAACAACGAACCAGCAGATAATAAAAGCATCTGTATTTGTTTCAACAGTGTGCGTCGGACACATCGAGTGGTACAAAAATACAGATTAAAAGACACGAGTGTGTTTCACAATATCGATGCAATACACACACGCACACACGCACACGTACGCATGTGGCATGTTCTTTTAGTCTCTTTCTTCAGCGAACACTCGGACAGTCTTTTCTTTTTTTTCTTTTTCTTTTCTTTTGTTGCGATTTATACGCTGCGAGTGCGGCGTAGAACTCCCGAAGCCCGATTCCAGGCCGTTTAATTTTTTGATTTCTCTTCGAACAACGCCGCGAATCATCTGTCCGTTTTGAGCAATCGAGAACGTTTAGAATCTGGTTTGTACCGCGGATTTCGTGCGCGTGGATCGGTTCGGAAATCGGAACCCGCCGAGAGAATCGTTCTCTCTGCCGAAAGATCCGCAGTTCGACGACAGATAATTCGCGTAGTTCTCGCGGATAATCGTTTTGCAATGGTTTCTCGCGATTCTACGCCACGGTGTGCAATCAGCCATACAGATGCAAGCTCGAACACACGAAGAAGCGCACGATCCACGAGGCACGTTTAGCGAAAGAAAAATATATATCGTATATGTATATATATATATTAGAGAGAGAGTATATCCGAATATGTTTTCGTCTACGATCACAATTTGCGAGGGAAACGATCTCCAAAGGCAGAAAGCGGTAATTGCGGTGGACCGAAGTCGCGGTTGTACGTATGGATCGATAGCAGGCCTGTCGACGACGACCGCGGTCTCGCGAATCTCTAAATCCCATCGATGGATCCCCGGTGGATCCCCCCCGGTGGATCACACCGATTGCTCCCGGAATCGTTCGTCTGTTTGCTTTTTTTTTCCCTATCGATTCGTCTCGTTTCGTTTTATTATTACTCGTATTTATTATTATCTTTTGGTAAAATAGTTTCACGGTTTCATTTCTTTTTCCGTTGTTTGCTGTTTAAAATCCATGACGTGAGTTACCGTGGGCGGCTAGAGCCAATGGGGGCCCGTGTTCGACGTAGTGTTAGTGTAATCGAGGGGTGTCGTGTGCTGCCTACAACCGACGGAGTAGGAGGTAGTGTGCTGGTCGATCAGTGTCGTCTCAATGGTCATCGAATCCTGGAAAGGTGTCGTCGGCAGTGACGCCGCATTCTGTCTCTTGATGGCAGACAATACCTCGCGCAGCTGGCTCACCTGGGAGCAAGTCAGGTCAGGAGGGCACCACGTGTCTCTCACTCGCTGGCAATTTTTTGCCGATTTTACATAATACAGATACTTCTATGTACACAACACTCTCTCCCACTCACTCGCGGACCGATTCGCGGAAGCTACCGTCTCGATACTCACGCCGCGAAATCTACCCTGATTCGGCCAACTCCCAAGGAAAATCGTTCGTCCGATTCGCCGATCCGAGACGCTACTCGGCTGCTTCTCTTACGCCGGAAATCCTCGTAGCTCGGTCTTTCTCGAACTCCTCTATCTCAAAGATATCGTCCGGCGGCTCTAAACTGTCCACGATCGAAACACGCGGATCGCAACGGATAATCGAATCGATCTAAGTCGCAGTTGAACGCTAAGACTTCGATCGGCCGTACTCGACAACGTCGGCTTCCATTTGGAACGAAAAAGAAATAACCATCGCACGCGAGAATCAACGAAAATCGTTCCAACGACTTCGCACCACCATAGCACGCAAACAAAAACGAATCTACGGATACAACGAACGATGCTTCTACAGCCCCTCCCATAGCAAGAGAAGCAGCGGCTCGAACGTAACCAACCGGCCCATGGCCAACCCTTGGGAGTTCCGCGCTAATACGTGTGAGATCTCGATAAAGAAACCGGCGACCAACGGGCCGGTGGCATTGGTCGATCAAGAAAATTTGGAAACCCGCGACGCTCCGGAACTCTAAGATCGTACCGTGGTCACCGACACAGAGAAAAAAAGAAAAAGACGCTCGGCGGAGAAAACTCATGGCGGATGTGAGAGGGCACAAAGAAGCACAACGAACGTCAAACAGCCAGAAGTGAATTAACTCTCCTTCCAGATAGAGAGGATCGAGACATAGAAGCAACAATGTGGCAACCTACCTGGGCGGCGAGCTGTCGCAGACGTTCCGACTCCTCGATGGTCGCGTCCCGTCGCGCGGCAACCTTCACCTGAGCTACGTCGCCGTAAAAGGATTCCGATCTCGGCGAGAAAGCCATGGTCAGCTGGTGCAACTCTTGCAGGGAATTCGAACAGGCGCGGTAACAGGCGACGCCGCAGACCTCCCATTGTTCTGGGGTGAGAAGCGGACCGCTGTTCACCAGGACGTGCCTGTACAAACCAGATTTCGTCGAGTCAAACATCGGACTGGTCCCCGAAGCCATCGAACGACCGACTTGGTTCGAGATGGATGCTCGACGGACACTTGGGGCGGATCTACTGGGATCTATTAGTATCTGCGTATCAGTATCTTCTCCTAGCGCGTGTCCATTATTAGGATACTTTCTCGATGCCTTGACAGATAACGATTAAATCGTGGATGTCACGCGAGTGACATGGTCCTTTTTTACGACCGAATATTTCCTTTCTTCGAGTTTACATTACAAGAAAAAAATAGCGAGAATGCTTTCGGTCATTCTACGGTTTGAAACGACTGTCGCTTCGGTGATAAATGCACAAAATCCGCATTCCAATCGCGATCTAAACGAACTAGACGGTCTCTGTCCATGCTACAAATTGGCTGAAGTTTCTGGCTAGGAGCATGTCGCGGAGGAATCGTGGTCGTTGCATTTGCGTCGCTTGCAGTTTCGAGAGGCACGCGAGATCATCCTGGAACGTCTGGAGCCCGCGGATCTTCTCATCGAGCATCGTCTAAGAAACTCTGGCAGCATCTAATCAGCGCCTATCGAATCCCGCCAGCTGACGGACGGTGAAGTAGACGGGACTTGGGGCAACGAAATGGAGGTCCGGGTCGCAAATGTAAGTGGGTTGACGGGAGTGGGTGACTCTAGGATTTCAGCGCAGGATCCCGTTCGTCATTCACTGGTGGGCTAGCTAGCAATCTGCCCGCGAACCTGTCCCGTTTTTAAACTCGGCGCACGCCTGTACATCGATACCTCGCGATCGACCCCGGCAAGGATTGAATTACACAGCTCGATGTACGGCGTGCATTAATACGGAGAAAACGCGCGAATGGATACACGTCGGAGCCGAGCGACAGAGGGAGCAAGAACGAACGAGAGAGACGAAGAGAGAACGCGAGAGGGAGAAAGAGAAAGAGAGAGAGAGAGAGAGAGAGGAGGCTTGTCGCGTGTATAGAAGGCGCACACGTTTCTCCTTGCTCGTGTGTTGCCGGCACGACGCTCCGGGGGTGTCGAGTGTCGGTGGCTACCTTATCCCACCGGACAGCCTGTCAAACTTCGTTATCATCTTACACGCACGCTACGCCCGTAACGACGATATATCTAACCTCCGCCGATGGACATTCCATCGAACCTCCGCGTTATGATTCACCCTTTCTCTCTTCGGATCGGTCTGCTCTCCTCTGGCTCCGGGCACCGTCTCTGTCCGGCTATGACTAGCCGAAGAGTTCCTCCCGAGTCACCGCGAATTTTTACGATTTTTCGAGCAACTTCGGCTTTGTCAGAATCTACCAGATGCATCGTCGCGCGTCGGATCGATCGGAGTTTGGTCGAACTAGTCTGTGCGCGACGGAACTATGGATCGCCGAACGCCTTCCTCGCGACTCGGTGATCTTAATTCGCTACCGAGTCAGTGGCTCTCGATAGCTCGGAAGAGGATCGACGATTGATCCTCGTTTCCGAAGGACCAAGGCGCTCGGCTGTCTAATCGAAAGGGTGCTTACCTAATGCAGGCGCAGCCTAATCGAGCTATGCTCTCGGTCGGCTGCACGACGCATTCCGCCATCACCAGTAGTAGCTGTTTCAACATGAGCGTCGTCGCCGGTAGATAAGCCTCGTTCCTCACCACCTCGGGACCTGGAACCCATCCGATTCGTCCCCAACGAATTATCGAATCTCTACGAGGCGGGCCCCCGAGCCGAACCGGTCGATCGGAATTATCTGTTAATCACCTTGAAGATGCGTCAAGTAATCGACGACCAGGTCGGTGATGAGGCCGCAGCACTGCTTGAAATTCGGGGCGAAGTTGTCCCAGCCCCGGAAGATCTTGGAGGTCTTTCTGAGCCAGTTCTGGACCATGGGAAGAAGCAGATGATTCACGCAATAGAGACCGAACGCTGGTCCGGGGACGTTCAAGGTGTCCCGCAGCAAATGGAAGAGCGTCTCCATGGTGTGAGGCTGGTAGCGTTTGGGACAGATCATGGTGGCGCTGGACAGGCCCTCGATGAGGATGCACCAGACCCTGAGGATACCGCTGGGCTTGTCCATGCTCTGCAGGGTGGTGATCGTGTGAACGTTCTCCATGAGGACGTCGTGAGGCCTTTCGGGAATGGTCTCTTGTATGGATTCGGCGTGCTTGTCGAATCGGATCACCTCGGAGTTCGGGATCAAGGGATCGACGTACTGGGGAATGGTCGCGAACTGGATCCTCTGCGCGGAATGGAAGATCGGGCAGGCTGGCATGCCGTACATCGAGGCCAAAATATCGCTGCAGCTCAACAGGTACTTGAGGCTCTCCACGCAGAGTCTCATTCGCTTGGTCTCGGCGACGTCGACCTGCTCCTGTTCGTCCTGATGACCCTCCGCGTCGCCGATGCCTCTCACGTGCCGCAACAGACAGAGAATGCAATCTAGCGCGGCGTTCGCGAACACGAGGGTGTTGTCCGTGGATAGGAAGACTCTGAACACCTCGAGGAGCGGCGCGGACTCCACGGAATCTGAATTGCCGACCGATGCTACGCGCAGCGCGCCGAACAGAGGCCGCCAGCCTGACCGGATCTCGGTACGGTTGGTCTCGACGAACTCGCAGATGCAGCTCACGATCTGAAAGGGTTGCATTCTTCAGAGTTTTTCTTCTCGGAAGGGAGGAGGTATCCTCCGTAGAGGCCTCGACTCGCTCCGATATACAGGATGTCCCAAAAATGTCTCGCAATCCGGAAATGGCGGGTTTCTCGGATCATTCGAAGCAACTTTTTCCTTTACAAACATTTTCTCCGAGGCACCGTTAACGAGTTATTAACGAAAAACAGCGACCAATAAGAATCGAGTACGGCTGACGCGAGGCGGCCCAGCCAACCAGCGCACGAAGTCCAGTTCCGCCCATTGGCTCGGTCGCATCTCATTGGTCACTGTTTTTCGTTAATAACTCGTTAACGGTGCCTCGGAGAAAATTTTTGTAAAGGAAAAAGTTGCTTCGAATGGCCCGAGGAACCCGCCACTTTCGGATCGCGAGACGTTTTTGGGACACCCTGTATGTTACAATGCCACCTACTTGATCTTGCACGTCGCTGTCGCAGAGTTCTAGGCACAAGAGGTTCTCGAACGGCTTGAAGAGCGCTTCGTTGAAGTGGAAGTGCGGCAACTCGACTTGCTCGTTCAACAAGGCAGCCATGGAGTCGTGGATGCACTGCACCGCCTTCTTGGAGATGCTACGATCCTTGTGACAGGCTGCCTCCATGAAGTGAGGTCCCAGGATGCTCCAGACCTAACGATCGTCCGGCAGAAATTAATGTAGAACCCGAAGTACCAGGAAGAACGATTCTTAGATCGAGTTTAAGATGTACGCCTACCCTCATTATGTGAATCAAAGGCCTTCCACTCTTCACGCATTTCAGCATCACCTCCCCCAGCCTTGCCAAGAGCAACACGTTCATCTCGTTCTCTCTGGGCTTGGTTCTGCGCCACCAGAATCGTTTGTTATCCTTGAACCCGTCCGGCGTCTTAAACAATTGAGCCTTGCTGGCCTTGCAAAGCGCGGTCAAGAATAGGCACAGCGCTCTCAGGTTCAGCTTCAAAGCAGCGTTCTCGAAGAGCCTGTCGACCTGTTGCGACAGGACGCAGATGATCTTAGCCGCGTAATCGGCTGGGAGGATGCCGTTGAACTGACTGTCCGCGGTGGACTCTTGGATAATTTCTGGGATCGTGTCGGAGCTGGGGTTCTGCGTGTAGGGGCTGGACAAGAAGCTGTAGACGTCGACGCTGCAACGAAAAAATGTCGTTAATCGCCTGAGAATTTTCGTTGAAGCCAAAGTAAAAAACTCGAAGGCGATTACCAGGTCTCCTCCTCGTCGGCTATGTTGAAGTTCAGCCTCAACCTGTCCTGATTCCCCTTGGAGTCCCCATTCGGAGCGTCCTTCTTCTCCTTCTTCTGCTGAGTCTTCGGTAGCGAAGGATTCTGGTTTCTCCCGAAGAAATCGTGCTCCAGTTTACTCACGTACAAGCAGCAGCTTTAGAAACGAAAGGATCGCTCGTTAGACAACGTTCGTTTTCGAAAGTATCGTTCATTGGCGAACAATCGACGATGCTCACGTGAAAACGTGCGGCCAACAGTCGCTGCCATGGCTCCCCAGCTCCAGACCTTTGCCCAGGAGAACGTCCATGCTTAACGCGTGCGACGTGTGAATATTAGTCGCCCTGTTCTGCAATTTCAGCCTGAGAACATCCTTCGTTCGCGTGATCCTCGATATCGATTGTTCCGTGCAGGCTGCTTTCGCCAGTAAAGCGAAAATCGAGCCGCAACGATTCTGCAGACCTGAGCGTCAACAGAACGAATTATTGCTAAGATATTAATGTTCGAGTATCCTGAAAGATGATCGATGCGTTAGGAAGCTTCGCTAACCAAGAATATTGCTCAATATCGCAGCTTTATGGAGGCCTTCCAAGGACAATACGACGGTGTCCCTGATGCCTCTCCTGCCGCCGTCTCTGTTCAGTANCCGCCAGCCTGACCGGATCTCGGTACGGTTGGTCTCGACGAACTCGCAGATGCAGCTCACGATCTGAAAGGGTTGCATTCTTCAGAGTTTTTCTTCTCGGAAGGGAGGAGGTATCCTCCGTAGAGGCCTCGACTCGCTCCGATATACAGGATGTCCCAAAAATGTCTCGCAATCCGGAAATGGCGGGTTTCTCGGATCATTCGAAGCAACTTTTTCCTTTACAAACATTTTCTCCGAGGCACCGTTAACGAGTTATTAACGAAAAACAGCGACCAATAAGAATCGAGTACGGCTGACGCGAGGCGGCCCAGCCAACCAGCGCACGAAGTCCAGTTCCGCCCATTGGCTCGGTCGCATCTCATTGGTCACTGTTTTTCGTTAATAACTCGTTAACGGTGCCTCGGAGAAAATTTTTGTAAAGGAAAAAGTTGCTTCGAATGGCCCGAGGAACCCGCCACTTTCGGATCGCGAGACGTTTTTGGGACACCCTGTATGTTACAATGCCACCTACTTGATCTTGCACGTCGCTGTCGCAGAGTTCTAGGCACAAGAGGTTCTCGAACGGCTTGAAGAGCGCTTCGTTGAAGTGGAAGTGCGGCAACTCGACTTGCTCGTTCAACAAGGCAGCCATGGAGTCGTGGATGCACTGCACCGCCTTCTTGGAGATGCTACGATCCTTGTGACAGGCTGCCTCCATGAAGTGAGGTCCCAGGATGCTCCAGACCTAACGATCGTCCGGCAGAAATTAATGTAGAACCCGAAGTACCAGGAAGAACGATTCTTAGATCGAGTTTAAGATGTACGCCTACCCTCATTATGTGAATCAAAGGCCTTCCACTCTTCACGCATTTCAGCATCACCTCCCCCAGCCTTGCCAAGAGCAACACGTTCATCTCGTTCTCTCTGGGCTTGGTTCTGCGCCACCAGAATCGTTTGTTATCCTTGAACCCGTCCGGCGTCTTAAACAATTGAGCCTTGCTGGCCTTGCAAAGCGCGGTCAAGAATAGGCACAGCGCTCTCAGGTTCAGCTTCAAAGCAGCGTTCTCGAAGAGCCTGTCGACCTGTTGCGACAGGACGCAGATGATCTTAGCCGCGTAATCGGCTGGGAGGATGCCGTTGAACTGACTGTCCGCGGTGGACTCTTGGATAATTTCTGGGATCGTGTCGGAGCTGGGGTTCTGCGTGTAGGGGCTGGACAAGAAGCTGTAGACGTCGACGCTGCAACGAAAAAATGTCGTTAATCGCCTGAGAATTTTCGTTGAAGCCAAAGTAAAAAACTCGAAGGCGATTACCAGGTCTCCTCCTCGTCGGCTATGTTGAAGTTCAGCCTCAACCTGTCCTGATTCCCCTTGGAGTCCCCATTCGGAGCGTCCTTCTTCTCCTTCTTCTGCTGAGTCTTCGGTAGCGAAGGATTCTGGTTTCTCCCGAAGAAATCGTGCTCCAGTTTACTCACGTACAAGCAGCAGCTTTAGAAACGAAAGGATCGCTCGTTAGACAACGTTCGTTTTCGAAAGTATCGTTCATTGGCGAACAATCGACGATGCTCACGTGAAAACGTGCGGCCAACAGTCGCTGCCATGGCTCCCCAGCTCCAGACCTTTGCCCAGGAGAACGTCCATGCTTAACGCGTGCGACGTGTGAATATTAGTCGCCCTGTTCTGCAATTTCAGCCTGAGAACATCCTTCGTTCGCGTGATCCTCGATATCGATTGTTCCGTGCAGGCTGCTTTCGCCAGTAAAGCGAAAATCGAGCCGCAACGATTCTGCAGACCTGAGCGTCAACAGAACGAATTATTGCTAAGATATTAATGTTCGAGTATCCTGAAAGATGATCGATGCGTTAGGAAGCTTCGCTAACCAAGAATATTGCTCAATATCGCAGCTTTATGGAGGCCTTCCAAGGACAATACGACGGTGTCCCTGATGCCTCTCCTGCCGCCGTCTCTGTTCAGTATTCCTTTATTGTTCTCTTCCTTCGGAGGATTCAAGCCAGTCGTCAGAACAGTCATCATGCTTCCCCAGCAGCAAGTTAGGACTCTTCTGGAAAGTTTAGCGCCGGCTTCGGCTTCCGGTGTTGGCTCGCTTCGAGACAGCTGAGCTTTCTCCAGCCTTATGTAGTCCGAAAGGAGCTGTCCGCCTCTTTGGCTGCCGGGAATGCCGTCGACGTCTGGAACAAGTAAAACAATTAGTCTCCGTTGAATTTTCACGAGCTTCCGACAGGTTCGCGCAGACTACTCACCGGTTAGAACGTTTATCAGAGCACTGTGCTCGGTATAGTGCGGATTGTAGCCGCACTTTTCGAGGAGATTACAGGCCAACACCTGCTGATACAGTTCGGACAGCCAAGTCGCTGACAAATAGACGAGGACACCCGATCCGTGCACTTCTTCCACGAATTGTTCCTGAAGAGACGCGATATTTGTACCAACCCTGAAGACATCGCCAAAATAATTACCAATTATCTACCGTACCTCGCTGATCGGAACCTGACGACTCTCTTCGTGGTAATAATTGATCCTGATCAGCTTCAAATTCAGCAGCAAGGCTGCATAAGTAGCCAAGTAGATCCCGTCAGCATTCATGATCGTGATCAACGCGCAGGAGTCGGTGCTGATCTCGGTCTGCTCCTGGATCTTCTGCTGAGCCGTGAACACCCCTGAAATCGAAGAAGATCGTTGTACAAATTCAATGTTTCATTGACAAATCGCTCGTACCTTGGCAATATTCCGAGGCAAAGTTCTGCAAAGCTTCGTCGACCTCTATGTTGCTCCTCAGGCTCAACACCATAGGGATCAGATCGCTTTTCAGCGTCTTCACGAACTTCCTAGCATTGTGTCTCTCTACGTCGACGTTGCATTCGTCGGCGACCTGTCTGCCAACGTGGAGACACTTCGGAAGCTTCTCCAATCTCAGCCTCTCCCTTTCGTTCTCCATCGCGTAGTCATTGTCCTCCAAGCTGTTCTCTTCTTGCACCTCGTCGGAATCGTTCTGAGGCCCTTCGGTATCCGTCGAATCACCGTCCTCCGACGGTCCGTGTCCCGAAGAGTCGGAATCGGAGCCTATACCTTTCTTCATCAGCTCCAATTGCTCTCTGAAAATTCATATCGCACGAGTCCGCTAAAAAATATACACTCGGCAGCCGTGAAAGAAAATCATTTGACCGAACGAGTCGAGCAAATTTTACGATTTAGGATAGGATTTAGGATATTGAAGGATTCTTCTCGCGTCGTTCGCTTAATTTTGGGTTCACCTGTACGTTTTCGGCAACCTCGCCATGCTCTGGTACGTCAGCGGCCCTCTGTAGTCGCAGGACTCCAGGTCCTCGTACAAGCTATTGATCGCGCAGGTGTAGGTGTGATTGATGGCCTTGCCCTCGCACAGTTCCTGAAGAGCGGAGAGCATCGCTACCACGCACGAAACGCTGGCGTGCAAGATGCTCAGTCCGCCGGTCGTTGATTCCTCGATAGAGTCCATTGCCCTGCGTCCCAGTCAACGGATTATAGCAATCCTCTTACGAAACCGAACGCAACTTACAGTCTCATCAACGCCATGTCGCTCTGAATGTGGCTCGACCTGTCCTCCTCCACCAGCAACGGCCCTGCGAAGTCCACCATTCGACTGGGACTGCGAAGAAGCTCCTTCAGCGCCTTCAGGGGCTCTAGACGCTGCTGAGGGGGCGGATAGAGCAGCATTCGATGGAACACGGATTCTAGAACTGGCCTCAAAGGTCCTACGCAGCCTACCAATCGGACCAGCTCTGTCCCGATACTGAAAAACAATTTATTTATTATGCGGTTTTGATAGTGATCTTTTGGAGATTCTGAAGAAGCAAGGATAGCTGAACTCTTTAACCCTTTGAGGATAAATACCGGCATATCGAGATCTCATTCGAGAAGTTGGAAAAATATTATTCGATCATTTACATAACAAAGATCAGAATGCATCGTTCGCCATTGTTTAAGTCTTTGACGCGTAGTCTCGTTCCCTAAGTAAACTATTCTTAACTCTTTGAGAGATCCTCGTCGGTGAAGGGTTAAAATCTTGAAAGCGCGGCGATTTTCTTCAGAAGTGGCAGATATTCGTTAATAAAATTAATCGACGTGCCTGTAGACGGTCTTAGCCTGATGGCTATCGAAGCTCAGCGAAGTAGCAAGGTACCCGGAGCCCCTGCCCACTTCGTTCTCCTTGCCCTCCCTGGAGGTGAACGTTTTATCGACCCTGGGTGTCCCGAGGAAAGCGATCAGCGCGGGACAGAACTTCTGCCAAAGGAAGGTGGTGAAATGACCGTTGGTGTGGATCTTCTGCGGCAAGGACGAGATCAGTGTGTGCAGGCACTCCAGAAGGAAGACCACGGTGTTGCCGTTTCTGCCATTGCTGGAACAAGATTTCCTGCGATTGGAAAATGCAGTCACTCGAGGAGATTGATATCCTCCTACTTTTGAGCTTCGTCCAGCTTGCTGCAGATGTACTGAAGGATCGGCAGGGCCTCGTTGAAGCAGGACACCCCCCTCTCCCAGAGATTCTTGTTCTTCTTCGCGTTCTCGTCCATTTCTTGGCACTCCTCGTCTGTTGGGAACCGTGCTCGTCATTACGCTAACCGACCGTGACGGAATCCGAATAGTTTCGCGGCGGGAAATAGACCGATAGCCGCGCGGAATCCGCGGACGGAGCTTCGCCGACACGCGATCCGGGCATACTTATCGATCAAACTTCTGTCAAGGCGTTTGCATGAGATCTGTTTGCTCTAGGAATCGTTTATCATGCGCTGTCTATTTAGAACACCGTTTTCGCGCGTTGGAAACGAATTTGGGATCGTGGGAAGAAAAGACTCTACAGATTTTGAAACAACGCGAAGTCCTAGCGTCCCCATAATTTTTCCATGTCGGCTAAGGGCTATGTTAGATTAGAGTTTACTCGAGGATTTATTATTATCGAAGAAATTCTAAGAAAAAACGAAAGCAGAGATCCGATTTATTTTTTAACAAATTTCAAACGCGGTTCGGTTGCAAAGGGGTAGTTCTGAATAATGAGTTTTGGTGTTGATTACCTAAGAACAGACAGAAGGACCGCAGTGTCTGGCTGGTGGCAGCTTGGGCAGCGGTTCTGACCGCTTGGTTCCCATTTTCGAAAGCCTCGCAGCAGGTAGTGAGAATGGCGATGATCAAGCGGCCGTTCATCGTCCAATACGAGGAACAGGCAACTTGCAGGAGCACCTGAGGAAAATCCCGCAATCTGTACCTTTTCTTCGAAGAATCCGATCGATTCAACTTACTTTTAACATATCCGTCTGCGTGTCGTCGGACTGTGACAGAATAGAGCCCATCGCGTGCAACATTTGCGCGGGCAGCCATAAGGAATCGTCCTCTGGCTCGTACGGTGACTGGAATCTGTCGTCTCTCAACATTTTCTACATTTTGAAAAGCAACGATAACGACTTTAAATCAACCTGGAAAACTCGAGAAGTCCACGAAATTTTCTATAAATTTTATCAATTAAAAATCGAACGTGGAACAACGATCGTTGAAAAGTCGAGTCGAAAGTGGAACATTTATTTTGTTTTCGAAAGAAATATCGAAAGAGAACAGTGCGTCGAGGAACGTTCCAGGCGACACAGCTGTTCGTCGATATCTCGCGGTTTATCGCGAAGTTCCTTCCCGCGAGCGGATGTCGGCTTATGTATGGGAGAATCGTAAAAATGTATAACCACTATGCGGAAAAAACTAGGCGATAGATACGTGTAACCACGCACATGTAATCCCGACAGACCGAACGCGACGAATTTGCTCCTCTTGGTTTCCAGTGCTAGCTGAAAGGTGTGTAGACATTTTGCTCGCAGCTCGTGGGGTGGATCACGCAGCAACGCTTGCTGCTTCTCCAGGAAATCTGCAGCAACCAACGGAAAAATCATCTTCTCCAACAATTGCCAAAATAAACTGTAGCAATAATCTTTAGAATAATCCGCGCAATAATCCTCGGAAGGGGTAAACGGAATAAATTACCCTTTGCGAGAAAACAAATTCTCGAGAAATAGTTTAATGGAGAATAAACCAAAAATTAATGAGACAGAACACTTTCGTGGATTATTTGCTGCAGGATACGGTGATTAGTTTTGGCGATGGAATATATCGCGAAACAGCGAGGGGATGTTGTATCGAGGGTAGTTATCTTGATGATCGAATAGAATGACGCGATGCCGCGTTTGTTGATAGACACAGGAAACAGCGAAGGTGATTTTGAGTTATGGTATTTAATGGGCTCACCATGCGCTTCCTGCGCCGATTTCCGTAAATTCTGTAGCTTCGCATTGCTGGACTCCTTGACGATCTGCAGCAGGAGATCCTCCATGTCACGGTGGACTAACACGCGACTGATCGATAGCGGGAGTGCCAATGCACGCCTGGCTATACGCGCATGTCCAGGGCCGTACGAAGACCCCCAGCCCAGGGAAATTCATAATTTTTCTTGGCAAGTGAATGCTCGTTCGAATTTCCTTCGCAATTTATCTGGCAACCCTATAAATAAGAAAATACATACAACAGAGTCAAGGCAATGTGTATAAAACTTTAAAACAGCTAAAAGAACATTGAATATTATAATTTCTCACATGGTAAATGGCCAGTTTAATGGACGAGCTAGTTAAAAGGATGACATTATTGATAGGAGTAATTAATATCCTGAAATCTCGATGCGGGCTACAATTGTTGCACTCTTTTTACATTAAAATTTGTCCGATTATAGTCGACTATCCAGTTGATATTTCCCTGTAAACCTGTGTACACATGTTTCTAATAATCACTGCTTCACAATTATCCTCAATACGTGAATATATTTCATTCTTTTCTGTCAGAATTTTAAATCGTTTTGGGACCAAATTTTCACCGTTTATGGCCACGAATATTCTTCACAGATATTTGTATATATATATTAATGTACAGAAGAAATTCATATGGCAGTGCACTCGCAGACGATACTCTGATATTTGATTGATACACTGATATCAAAATCGGAAAGATCGAAGCGCTATTTTTCCGAGTAGAATGGTTCAAAAATTGAACCTTTGCGGAGCGACTGGCTGACATTTTAAAACGGCACGGTTCGTGGCGCTGCAAGGCAGTCACGTGTCCAAAACCGATCAGTTATCGAAGATGGCTGCGGAGAGTGACAAGAAACGTAAAGGAGCGGAGAAACCAGATCGTGCACACAACAATTTGTACAAATTCGCTGTAAATCTCATAGGTAAAACCTCCTCCTTTCGATAAATCAACGATACACATAAGTTCCCGACGTATATGTCACAAAATTCTGTCATTTTCTGTGATAGCTTTGGGAGTCGGATTTTTCCATCGGTGGCACGTATCTACGCTCTTTGAAAATGACCGGCATTTCTCGCATTTATCCGAGATCGAGAGGGAAATGTCGTTCCGCACGGAAATGGTACGAAATCTTGATCGAATTCCGAGCGGCTGAACAAAATTCTCTGTCCGGAAACGTCAGGTATGATACTCTTCTGTTTTTTATATTTCCAGGGAATGTATTACTCCTACTTCAAAACTATCGCGGAATCGAAGACGTTTATGGAAGGCTGGGAAAAAATCAGCCACGATAATATTTCGGAGTATGGCAATGTTATAAATGCTAGTAGAAAGTATAGTTTGCTGCCAGAGGTATTATACTCCGATTGGGGAACTCCCACTAGTTAGACTGCGGATGTTTATGCAAATATTTAGAAATTATGCACAAAAGAGTTCATTGATTTCGATGTCTGAAATTGTTGGTCAATAATATGTTAAATAATCATAAATTAAAGGCTATACGAATGAAAGTCGCTCGAGTCGTTCCATGGAAATCGGTGATTCTTTTGTAAATAATTTAGATCATTTGATAGAATGCAGATCGAATAATTGCATAGAATTCGTGGTCTACTCGCAACAATGGGAAGCTATAAGAGTTCCTGATTTGCAGTTGATAATTGGCTGGCTCTATCATTGCGCCAAGTACTTGGGAATCACTTCTATAGAGGAGTGCTGGCAAGTGAGACTTGTTTATATCGGATTTGTATCCAGAGTCTACCTCTTGTATCCAGGAGCAATTCCTGGGCTTTAAGATAACTTATATTTGACTCTGCATACAATGAGAACTAAAACAGTCTCGTCTTATAGAGTGACCACAAAAGAGTGGCTTTCAGGTAGAAAGAGGAGAAGGTGTGCCTCCTGTAACTAGCTGCGAAGGCTTGGGAGTGCCGGTGTATTTTTACTTAGAGATGGTCTGGATCAGTACCATGTTCACTGCTGCAACGCTATTTCACTATTCCGTGTACCTGGGCAACAGCGTGAGCAGCGGCGTCGTCACAATACTCTTATTCTTTTATAATCACAATGAATGTACACGAGTGCAATGGACACCACCGCTGCGCGAAAGTTTCGCTTATCCTGTGATATTATATCAGATGTATATGTTGACTGTGATTCTGAGAGAAGGCAGTCGCCAAGACTGGAGAAAACTACCCACAGATTTGATCCTGGTGCGTTGAGCTTAGGACCGAAAGAAAAAGGAGCCTCTGCGAAGTAACCAGCGTTTGAATTATTTCAGAAAATGGGATGGTCGACGCTGATTAGCTTATGCTTCTGGCAATTCTCGCACTTCGTGTTTACCACGCAGATTATCGCGGTGCTGATACTTAAATGGATGAAAGTAATACCGAACGATCTGTACAGATTCATCTGTGTGAGCCATATGTGGCCGGCATTCATAGCCACGAAGTTAACGGATGGAGCCTTTCTGTATTTCATGCTGTACCTGTGCTTAATGGTTATCAGCAACGTCATAAGTTTGTTCGAGGTACTGTCCCGATTTATCGGCGCGAAACTACAGACAGCACTGGAGATAGTTCTCGTAGTTATCGGCACAAGCTACATGAAGTCCCTGCTGAGTCTGGTATCGGAGGACGACGCACACGTGTTCAGTTTGCTGAAGGCAAAGTTGTCAAGCTACAAGGACTTCCACACGATGCTCTACACCTGCTCGGCCGAGTTTGATTTCCTGCCGTTCAGGAGCTACGATGCTATCATAAGGACGATGCTGCTGCCGATCGCCGTGCTAGCCGGGTTTCTAATAGTCTACTACTGGTACAGGAATTACAAGGGCAAAGGCTATCCGAAATGTGTAGAGGCTGACCTGGCGTACAATGGACTGCAAACTGGCGCGTTTATAATAATGGCTGTGTTCATCATGAGACTGAAGCTGTTCATGAATCCGCATCTTTGCATAATAGCCGGTACGATCTGCGCCAACAGGTACCTGGACAAAGTTGGCCTGAAGAATGACATGATGAAGACCGCTTTGGCGGTTCTGCTGATCTCGGCGATGTCTTATCACGGACTGGAAAGGCTGAAGGAGGAAAGAAGCATTATCGGTAAGTTTACGCGTCTTTCAGCCACTTGTACCCGTCCACAGACCGGATCTTCTGACCTTCCAGGAGAGTTCAGTAACATCGAGCAAGAAGAACTATTCGATTGGATCAAGAAAAACACTCCGGAACACGCCGTTTTCGCTGGCAAGATGTCCTTGATGGCGAACCTGATGCTCTCTACCGGCAGACCTATCGTGAACAACCCCTATTACGAGAGCAAGGAGATGAGGTGCGGAGATCTAGGGTTTCCGATTGCTTTGCGTGTTATTAGCTCTTCTTTTTCAGGGATAGGACCATGAAGGTATACGAAATCTTTAGCAGAAAGGACGTGTCCTCGGTGTACCTGACTCTGAGAAATTTGAGGGTGGGATATGTTATTCTGGAGCAGCCTGTGTGCCTGGCCTTCGCGAAATTGTAATTAATATCACATTATTCTTAATTAAACAATGCGCTGCTCCTGATACAGCAAAGGCTGCGTTCACCTTTTCAGACCGCAAGGCTGCCAGATGATCGATCTCTGGGACATGATCGACAGCGGGACCGCCAAGGCCGCGGGGAAGCCACCCCTCTGCCCAACTTTGTTCCAAGGGAACGCCTATCCCTTCAAGAGGGCGTTCGTGAACAATCGATACGTTGTTCTACAACTAGACTATTCGCAGTACGTTGAACTAAAACCAAAGAACTCTTTGCACTACCAAGCTTGAGAACCTTCGAACCAGGCAGTGACAAATATGTAAACATACCTCGAGAGAAGATATTTTTCCGGGAGAGAGAGTGAGAGAGACAGTTATGTATCATACTTATATATATATATATTTTTTGTAAACACGTGGGTGCGAGCGGAAGCAGAGAGAGGTCAGCCGATAGGAGTTGAATAAAACGTTAGGATGATTTTTTTAAGCGAAGCATTTGTGGCCCGGCCTGTCCTGTATCCTTCACTCCAGTCGAGTGTACCTTTTTTAGTTGTATCGATGCTAGTTTAGACAAATACCTAGTTCTTATGCTTAATAATAAATTTCGAAAGTAATTCACCCCCAAGCATCAGAGTTTTATTGAACGTTTTCAAAAAGGACGCGTTCTTTTCAAATGGCGAAAGGAAAATTAAAACACTGTTCAACTTTTAGCATTTTCGAATTTCTAAGTCGGAACATTCATCTCTTACACGGCAATCCTGAAAATTTTGATTTTCAAGTAATTTGTTGTGTTATAATAATCTAAAAGTACGCGCGCACAATAGAAAAAATTCCAAACGAAAGAATTCCAATTTAGCGTTGCGATAAAATCCCAAACATGCGAATGTTTCCGCGGGATCAGAGAAACTGCCTCTAAAATTGCAGCAGGCAAAATGCGGTTCGAAAAGAAACGATTTTTTTATGCCGATTCTAATGTAAGTTGGTCGACATTTTGCAGATGGTAATCGCGGCTCGGGAACGGATCGGAATCAGGCGACGAAAAATCGAACCTTGCCGCGAAGATAGCTCCGTTATAGCCACGCGGCGTAGCACCTTCACTTCGCCGTGTATCAGACAGTATAGTCCGAGCCCTGGCAGCGCTATACTACGTTGTGCCGCTGACCCAAATGAATCCTATGGCCAGTCAGTCCCGGTCCGGGCTTCTTCGCGGCAATATTACTCGCTCGGCCACAGCTGGCACCGTTCGAACACGCCTCTCCGCGTCGCTCAATTAAAAATCCTCGATCCTCGCGATCTACCTGCCGCGAGTGTCCGTCGATCAGTTATCACGTGCCCGATTAAACCATCGGAGAACAAGCTGCCCATATTGCAGCGGAGAACGGGGCCCAGTGAAATTCTCAGCGCTCCCTAAACAGTGAAAGTTCCGAATCGGTAGAAACGTCCTCGTCAAAAAAACGCTCGATCTGTGTCGATCCGCTTTGCCGCCGCGAAAAAAATCGGTCGCGCGATTCGGAGAGAAAATTAGGCGAAAGGATCGTAACGATTCCCGCGTTCGGTAATCTCGGAAAGGAACAGCTCCGAGGGAATTTCCATCTATTTTTCTACATGAAGAATCGGCCGATTTTTGTTTTAGTGTAATCGGAATATAGTGATCGAAAGATTCAGTGATCAAATGTGAGATCCGAATTGATAGAGAGAGAGAGAGAAAGAGAGCTAGTACGTATTGTCGCGCTGGACCGAAAGCAAGGAGGCCGAGGATGCCAATGACAAAGGCGAAAACATAGTAATCGCATTCGCCACCGACTGCCAGGATCCGATTGATCGAGATCGCGCGCACTCGCAGACTCCAGACAGCGATGCGGTTGCATTCCGCGGCAACCATCCGTCCGCATAATCATTGACACTCTGCAGTGAGTACTCATCTCTTTCTTATTTTTCTTTCTTTCTTTCTTTCTCTTGCTCTCTTTTTTCTCTCGCTTTTCGTTCTCGTTAGCGTTATCCGGCGAGTCGCGAGTTCTATCTTGTTAACGAAGGAAATGATTTGTGGAATATCAAGGACGCCTCCGCCTCGCGTCCTTGCGTCTGCTTATGAACGGTGCATTAATTCGCTCAATGAGCATAACAATGTAAATGCAGTCCTCAATCGGATGCGCCGACCCTCCGTTGCACTGTAATTTCGAAATTGTGCTCGTTCCGCGGTGGAATTCTAATTTTGTCTCATTCCGGAGCCTCCATTCGCTGGCTATCGACGATCATGCCTTTCCGACTGACCTTTTTCATTCGATCGTGCTCCCTGAACTGTACCGCGAACGGTTCAACCATCGTCGACAATTGTTTCGGTAGATGCTTCGAGCAGTTTTCACGAGGATTTTCTTCGTCTCGGGCGAATTTGGTTTCATTAGGAGCAGACTCGTGTCGCAAAACGTTCACACAATTGGATCAATTTTTCGTATCGAAGTCGATCCACCTTGGCCGGCGATGACTGCGCGAAGCGCTAATTGGTCACTGACTGCTGTGTCCCTAATTTATGAATGACACTAATATTTTCTACTTATCGGCCACGCTCTAATGTGCGTGGGCCTTGGTGCCATCGGCACTGTCTTCCAGTTGTTAGAAAAATTAGAAACGAGGCGCGAACGGTTGCCCCGATCAAATTTATTCGAACAATAATCGCTCGGTGCACCTCGAGTTCGCGTAGCAAGATTAATTCGAAATCAGTGAAAATACGTGTTGCCGCGTTTTCCAAGCAAACCATCAACACCCTATAAAAATAATCTGTGCAGCTATTTAATTTGCATCGAAGCACCCGGTGATTAATTAACGTAGACTACTTCGTCATCGGTCGAAGGCGTTGGAATCGTTTCGCGGATTCGATAAAACTGAATATTAAGCGTTCGTGGTCTCGGCGGAGGGCCGATAGCCGGCAACAGGAGATTTTATGCAGTGCAGTTTTAAGTGGAACGGAGCTCGCAGTAAAAATTGCGACCGGTGAAGGCTGAGAGCTGCTTCTGGAACGCGGCGTACGCTATGACGAATGGAGCACGCTCGGCAATAGCAGTTTTACTGTGCACTAAAAACCACTATCTAGTTACAAGAATTCTTTTTTATATCCTCGAAACGGCGAGCTAGACGATCAGCTGTTACGTTTCCGAGGAATCGCGCTGCGGCTATTCTCTCCCGGGAGAAATAAAACGAGCCTCGCTTACGGTAAATGCCCACGCGGCACGGAACGTTAAGCTTAAAAAAAACAAAGAGCCGAGAGAATCAAATTTATACAACGGCACATCGATCCCCTCCGCGCTCCTCCGTCGAGAGATTCGGATACAGAAAGATTTCGATATGGAAACGGAGCGGTTACATCGTAATCGAATCTAAACACGAAATCCCTGTTTTCTCTTAATTATTCTCGCATCCACGATCCGCGATAACTTTCCATAAATCGGAGTAACCACCGCTTCGGAAGATTCTAGGATACGTTTAAAAAAATAACAGCGATTTCAAGCGAATGTTCTCTCGGAAGAGATAAAATAGACAGATCGCACGAATCGCTGTCCTACATACGCATTCCATTGGAGTAAAAATTCTGTCGCAGTGTGTGCAGCTGGTGCTGCAGGAGCCACAGAGTTTATCTGTCACGCTGCTCGTCAGCGAAAACAAGAACGAAGAATATTTGCGAAGCTGGCATCGTCGCCGGACAATTATTAGCTCGACCATGAGTCGCTGCAACGACGACGATTCGATGATGCTTGAAACGGTGTTCACGAATCGATGCGACACGCGTGACCGGTCGTTCGATCGGCGTAGCGGGTACAGAGCGTTGACGAAGAGAAGCTGAAAGAGACGGAGCGCGGCATCTTGGAGGCTGGTTGAAAATAGAGCGAGACAGGCGGGCCGAAAGCATAATCGCGAAGACAAAGGCACGCGGAAGCGGCACAGCGAATAATCGGGGGTTGAGTAACCGCGAGGACGAGGAGGAGAGGTCGATGCGAACGACCGATGGTAACTCGAGCGAATTAGATCCTTCTAAATCGAGTGTTGGCACCGGTGCCAGGTTGCTGCGTCGCGCCAGCAATCACCACCGGAGACCGGGGTGACTGCATCGTCCTGCCGAGAAGTGGGTTACGAATACTGGCGAGAAAGTAACCGAGAGCCGATCTGTCTCGGTGGCAGGGGAAGATTAGGCGCGGCCGTCCGGTTTGCATCGGCGAACACATTATCGGTCGCAGCGGTGGCCAGGTTGATCGTCTCCGGTAGATTCAGGCCGGCTGCCTAGAGCTCGATAGACCTCGGTACGGCTTCGGAGCTGCTTCTAAGCCTGGGTGTTTCGTTCAGAGAAAGGAGAGAGAAAGAGAGAGAGAGAGAGGTGGCCTCTCTGCGTGGAACGCGCGTGCCAAATTCCGACGGCGACGACGCAACCGGCAACGCTTGTCTGTGTTCCGCGTGGTTTCGAGGTCAGGGAAGAACGGCTATTTCGCGGACTAGGCTCTTCTCTCCTGAATCGCGTATCACGTTTCCTTCGCCAGATGCGTAACCCGGCCCCAAACGGAATACTCGGGGTGCTAGCCCGAATTTTTGCTCAATTATTGGTCCGCGAGCTTCCTTTAGATTTCCCGGATTTTACCAGGCCTTGACATGGTCTTCGCTAGGTCTTGCCAGGTCTTACCAGGTCTTACTAGGCCTTCATCAGATTTTCTAAATTTGACCAGGCCTTGACTAGGTATTGCTAGGTCTTACTAAGTCTTACCAGGTCTTACTAGGTCTTGCTAGGTCTTACTAGGCTTTCTTCATGTTCTCTGAATTTTAATAAAACTGTATCTTGGCCCAAGGCACTCTTCGGCTTCCCCAAGTTTTCCTACGCCTCGATCACTTCGGATCGTCAAAGGCTGTTCTTCAGATTTCTTAGATTTCAGAACGATAGCCAACATGCACGCGACTGTCTAAAAGACTCGGTCACCGTCATCTGTCAATTCCTGAAATCGAGCTCAACTAGTTCGCTTTTATCCCGTTCAAGTCCCGACTTCCAGGCAATCGTGCCGGCAAAGTGCATCGATCGGGCACGGAACAGTCAGGTGTTCATCTGTTCAGGCGTCGCTGAGTAATCGTTACAAGCTAGCGTTATCATCGGCGAGCCCGCTTTCCACTGTCGAATAAATCTCGCAGCCTGCCGAGTCGATTCCGCAAACCCGATGCTCGGATCGACGGGTTTCTAATTGGAGGTCTTCCCGGATGAAAGTCCCGGGATCGTTCTCGATCCCGGCTCGTTTATCGAGCGGCGCTTTTTAATCCGCGCCGAGAAATCTGGTTTCCACGGTGCTCGCCAAATCCAGACGCGGAAGCCCGCCGTTATCGGATTCCGTCCGCGATTTGTTTCGCAAGTTCGCGATGCTCGGCGTCGGATCGGGACGAGCCTCGATCGCCGTGCTAAAACGGAGTTCCCGTTGGAGGATCGTTGATTAATCGTGAGAAACGGTTTCAAGGTGGAGGCCAGCATCCTTCCCGAGGCTCGGAAGAGACAGGAACGTTCCGCGCCGAGGATAGAGGCGGCGAGAGAACGGGAGAGGAAAGGAGACGGGGCTACACGGAGTGGGCGACAGAGTTTCACATGACCGAGTTAGAGAGCCATACAGTTTCGCCGAGGGCACGGTGCTCGTGACACCAGATATCGTTTTCACGTAGGCCGGCTGATTGCTCGCCAGCCTCTAATTGGCCAAAGGTCACAATCATAAAACATAATTCCGTCCCACTGCCAGCAATTGCGAGGAACGGTCCCTAGATCCGGCCGATGATCGCGGCCCCCTTCGATTCAGCCGCGATCCGCGCGCCGATAAATCACAGATCCATCTGTTAATCCTGCGCCGATCGCTGGTGCATCGGAAAACACGCGGTCGATATTTACGCCACGTGGGACAAAGATCGGCGCAATCATTGTAATCGATGCAAGAAAACGCTCCGATTTTATGCAGCTTTTCAAGGATCCGAGCTGGCATACGAAGTTTCGTTTCGTTTAACAAATTCATCGCGAATCGAGGGTTCTTCCAAAGGATTCAAGATTGATTTTACGTTTCTAAATCAGATAAAACAGAAATACCGAACGAAATGTCAAGGTTCTGGAGTTGAAAGCGTCGGAGACAGATCGAACGTGAATTTCCCATTTTATAATTGTTGTTGCGCGTTTTTTATGGTTTCTAAAAATTTGCCAGAGCGCGGAGGGCCCCGGCGAATCCCCGCAGGATCAAGGACGGCCCTCCTGCGGGTCTTCCCGTCGGGGAATTTCGTTTCCTCCGAACCGGTGAACGCTTCCTTGGTCGAAACAAGGCCGGGCTTCTCTCGGCGTCTAGATCCTCCGGATCTCCTCGCGTGGATTCGCTCCGGCGAGCATTTTTTTCCGACCTTGGCCGATGCTACACCTCCCGGCATTCCAGCCTAATCGAACGACACACCTCTCACCGTCGCGTCCCATAATCCGTAGACTATACTGGCCGAGAACGTACATATACATAGAAGCATGCTCGAGAGCGTTATCGCGTCTTTGATGGGCCCACGATCTTTCGGAGAAGTACCCTAACGTAGAAGAATCTCCGATAGAACCGGGTAGGCCAACGGCTTCGCGCGGCCATAAGTGCCTATAAATTCGTTGTTTTATAAAGCGGGCCCTGCCGGACAGGCGACTCCACGTTTTTATGGGGCTCCATTTTCGGCTCTCTTCGGATTCTACGGGGATTTAATATCGGCTGTAATTGTTTCTGGTTCGGTTGGGTAGTCGGTGCTCGGGGAAGATTACTGTTTTCGGGTGGTTTCCTGGCCACAGGAAATCGTTCTTTTAAACTTCTCTGAAGTATTTTATATTGGTAGTAAAAATAATTCTTTCGAATTACTAGCAGCGATTAATATCGGCGGTAAATTATTATTTTTCGCCTGTTTGGACACCGAACGTTCGCAGGAAATTATTGTTAGGCCCTTTGAGGTGTTTATTGCCCACGGCAAACATTTTTTTAGCATTCCTCGAGCACGTTTATTTTCCAAGTTTTTGAGAGTATTTAATATTTTAAATAATATTTTTTAAGTCTTCGTGAACACCCAACAGTGGTAGTAAATAAAAATTTCCAGCATCTCCAAAAAGAGAGAGAGAGAGAGTTACCGTCAACAGCTAAAATAGTTTTTCATTTTCCCTAGTCCAGCATTCTCGCTAACAAACGCCATTAAATTATTACATCAGTTCCGTTTCTGTACCGGCAATCAAACTCAGATATCTCTGTTCGATTACACAGAAAATTCCGTATATTCCCAGAACATTTAGCGTCGATGGCAGATAGTTCCGTTCCGAGTACTCGACACTGCCATCAAATGGTCGCCTCGACAAAGTTCCCGATCCGAAGAAATTAATGATATTCGTTGTCTCCGATAAATCTATCTCCGTGAATATTCAACGAGCTCCTAATACGCGAAGTCGAATAAAATCGTAGGAAAACGGCGAGATTCGGGGATGATTTAAGGAGACCCGCCGAAACGGCCCGCGAAAGTGAATTCTTTTCGAATAATCCGCAGAGCAGCACGGAAACGCGAACTTTCTTCGTGTAACCTACATCCGGCGCAAACGGCAGGAAGAAAGATGTGTTCACATCGGGCGAAAGACTCGAGAGCATAATGGAGACAACGATTTTCAAGACTGGTTTCCTCGAACGACATTGTTATCAGCCGGAGGAAAATTAACCTGGTTTCTGCGGTTCCCTCTAACTGGTTTGAATCCGCCGGTAGCCCGGGAATAATTTCACTCCGTCCGTGTCCTCTCGAGCGGTCTTCAGGCCACGTGAATTGAAATCTGTGGGGGCCGGAACGGGAGGGAAGCAGCTTGACTCGGGGAAAAGCCACTTGGAAAATCTACTTACAGGGTCCGGGGGTTTATGGCTGCCACCGGGAATCTGATATTCTTTGAAATAACTGGAGGATCGTCGACTCGTACCTCCGCGTTCATCAAGAATATCTTCTTGGACGTTCCTCCTACTTAATGGCCCTTTCAAACAACCGTAATTGACTCACGCTCGACTACTGCTGCTCGGGCACGATGGCTTTACTGCTTACTACGTTCAAGGGAAATATACTTAACAACTTGCTCCATTTTTCTGCGGAGTCTTCGTGCAGTCTTCGCAGTTATCTTCTCGATGAACTCGAACGCATTGAAATCGGAGCACGATCTTTTTGTCCATTGTTTTAGTACATTTCAAATGGAACGGTGCTCTTTCAAACTTTGTTCGATCTTCCGTTTACTTTGTTATTTCTTCAGGATTTCTCCTTCAAAAGAAGAAGAATCGTGTAGCCTGAAACAAAAGGGGAACAGAACTGTGTCGTGTTCGATTCGATCTTCGATTTCATTGTTTCTGAAAATCTTTCAGCAGTCGATGCACGTAGAAGCATCGTTTTAAAATGATCGCGCATCCGCGAGCGAAAATCAAATAAAATTGCGTCGTCGTTCTTGCAAACCGTTCGGAAGTTGGAACGCCTCGAGGAACGTTTCAAAATGAATCTACCAGGAACTTTTCTCTGCCGGATGGTTCGAACTTTCGACAACAATAATTGCGCACCCTGCAGTGTACTTAATTGCCCAAGAAAGTGTTCGGCAGTTAGCGGGTCTTCTGAATCGGAGTGCAACCACGGTTCGCGTGCAGGCTCCGCGAGCGCTCCCAATCATGAACCGTCGATCAACAAGTTGCAATCGCTGGATCTCTCCGCGTACACGAGTCGTACATGAGAACTGGCGTGCTCGGCCGATTTCAAGTCCACTACCTGCTCGATAATTACTCGAATTTTTCCAGACGGAATAATCTCGCGCGCGCTGCCCATTTTCCACTCCTATTCCCGACGGTGATCGTGTTTATCCAATCGGTTGCGCAAGCAGCCAACCAACGATTACCGCCGCCACCGGTTCTCCACGGGCGCAGCCCATTTTCAAATTCGCTAATATCAGTGTTTCCTTCTCCGTCCACAAGCGCGGCGATAATTTTCCGCGACTCGGGGAAAAAACGAGTATTCGCGTTACGACGCGGGTTCGGCTCGTTAACCGGCCGCTCGTGAAAGTCCGGCGCGCCGAGCCGCTTCGAAACGAGGAAACAGGCGGTTGACCGGCACTCGGAAGCGCAGATCCGAGATACGTAATTAGAATCCTCGATCGGAGATGCGGCTTCGATAAGGACCACCGTGAAATCGTCGGCGTTCCCCGAGAAAAATCACAGAATTCGCGTGAATTCGATCGCTTCGTTTGTTACATTTAACGAGCTTACCTTCTGATTTCCTTTTACTTTTGGGCATTCCGAATGTTTGGTAGATACAAAGAGGTGGCAGATGCGGTCGAGAACCGTTGGAAAATAATTGGAGCTTCGTTGGAATAATTAGGAAATTAAAAAGTTCGCTCACCTTCGCTTGCACCATTTCGATTGCGCGGTGCGTTCGACGAACAGCTCGTTCGATATTTACTTCTTCTCGAGGATGTTCATCCGGAAAGACCCATATGTTCGAAGTTGTTTAGCGCGCTTGGAGTGCTCTCGAGGATGTTTTCGGAGTTTCGTTTCTGATCGGGGTGTACCGGTGTCACCAGATGCAGGAAGAGGATGTTCCTTCGACTGACAGTTCAAGAGGTATTTCCACAATCGCGCAGCGACGTCTTCGTGGCGAAATAGTACGGGAATTATCGGGTTTAATGCGTGGCATTAGCGACGTCCTCGTTCCAGGGAAATATCGCGTTCTGTCGGAGAACCCGAATCCTACTTTCCCTTCGGTGATGAAAGATCAGCGGCCTGCAGCGCGGTGATGCCTGCCGAAGAGCCTCGCGGTAGCATATTCCAATGATTTAGGTACGAAACGAGTCGCGATATCGGGCCTGCTAGTTTTACCGTTCGAGAAGACTCGTTCCAACGACTTCGTTATATATTCACAGTAAATATCGTCACCTTAACGCTCCCGGCAATTTTTCTCGAGTCTCGTTACCTCGAACACGGCGCGAACTTCGAGAATAAAAGACTCGAGGCGGAAGATTGAAGACTCGAGTCTGAAGATTAAAGACTAAATACTGGAGAGTAGATACCAGAGATTGAAGACTCAAGACTGAAAACTAAAGGCTGAAGATAGAGACAGTTATGGAGATGCAAGTATCGCGAAGACGATCGAGCAACACCGAGCGCAGCTGCTCAATATTCTCAGGCCCGATCGCCGTAAATATTCCGTAGGAATTCGGCGTGCCGGAATTCGCTGGTTAAACTCGGTCCCAATAATAAATTAGACCATGCAGGCGGAATAGAAAGTCGCGGAGAGGAGCAGAGAAAACCGAGCACCGAACGCGCGGAACGAGGAAGAAAACTGGCGACAGGGTTCGGTGCCGGCGGAGAATCCTCTTCGAACGTCCTCGCCACGGTTGACATTTTCCTTGCAGGAAAGGAAGCCTCCGCCGACTTCCTCTTTCCCGTGGCAATCGCTCCTCGGTAACCGGTCGCGTTGATTAACAACAATAATTCCGGGCCGCGCTTCCTCGTGGCAGAAGGATGTAGTAATTCGCCGCGCGCGACGCTAATTGCCCGGGCTTTCATCGAGATTAAGGTATCAACACTCTCGCTCGCGAGAAACGCGACGCGGATCCTCTTTCTCTGTTATCTTCCGAGCAGAGCGGTGCTCCTCAATGAACTTATCTCGTTAATGGCGGCGCTAATCGGAAGGAAAATGCATTCGACTCGATTGTTCTCAATTAAAGAGACGAGGCGAGTTCGTTTAATGAAAGTATATTTCATCGCCCGCAGTATCTCCTCGATTGAAAGCAACGAAGACGCGCGTGTTCTGTAATTATTGTATGCTTTAGCGTGCCATTAGAAAACTATCGTTTCTAATATTCCCAATTTGGAAGAGAAAGATTTAACGACTGGTTTCGTAGCCTGTTTACCGCAATTATCGACTTCATTGACTCTACGATCAAAAATATTCTCTCTCTTTCTCGCAGTGGATAATTAATATCTGTACGATTGTTATTGTTATTTATAGAAAAATGCATTGTGCTTTATTTATGGGCAGAATCTATTAATGGAAATACGTTGGCAACACGTGCGAAACACATGCTCGAATAACAGAAGCCCCACGGTCCCTTTTTATCGATATTTTTAGCTGGATGAAATATCGGATCGGTTTTTTATGGAAAAGGCGAGTTTATCGTCAGCGGAGCGATGAAATATTTTTGAGCATCGGTGTTTCGTTCTTGCCGCCCCGCAGAAAATTCCTCTTTCCCCCGCGCCGGATTCCTGGACCCCGTGGAATGGTTTCTTAGACACTTTTCTTTCCTCGCAGTTTCCGTACCGTTGATCTCTGTCGGGGAAACTGGCACGGATCCAGGCCGTTTCGATGAATAGTCCGCGCAACTTTAGTGCTCGTAAACTTTGTTCCATTTCTGTCGAACCTCGAGAGCAAATTAGCGTGAAGGTACGCTTAATTGGGTAAATTGGCGACGATTAATTTTGGTTTCTGCCGCGGCGGTTCTACGAATTCCACCGAGAACAAAGAATATCCTACTTCCCTCGCTTCGACGGTCTTCAATCATCTCTCACATTTTTCGTTGCACAATTTTGCAAGAAGTTCCAGACAAGACTTCTTTGTCTCCTCGATATTCACTATGTATTTTTAGTTGCGACTCTTGCAACATAATGTGCTCTCTACATCTGTTCGATGTCAACGCCAGCTTTACGGAGAGCATTAAAAGCAGCTATTTTATTTCTGTTTATAAAAGCAACGATGATATATATTCGTTCGGATTTTTAGTGATCTTTACCGCAACGTTTGCCCAAGCAACAAATTCTTCGGGAACGTTTCTTTGCAATCTCGTGCAATCGCGAATTAAAAAATCGCGCGATCGTAGCGTCAACGCGACTTGTACATTCTTTCGAACAGACGGAAGAGATTAATTTTTCGATGAGCACTAACGGAGACGACTACGGTTCTGTTTTCAGAGATGCGAAGCGAGGTAGGAGAATGGCTGCCGACCTGCGTGGGTTCACCGATCTGCATCCTCTTGCTGTCATGGTCGCTGCTGATCTATCAGAGCCAGCCATCCTCTGCGAAACGGAAGATCGATGTGTTCACAGTGGCCATTCTCTCGGAGAGTCTCGTGCACCAGCTCGGACTTCTTTTCTACGCGATCCTCACGCTGATTCGGCCAAGCAACCATTTCGGAGGTATCTATGAATCACGCTCGTCTCCGAGTCTGTCCCCATAATCGAACCTGCTCGAGGAACGTCGCTGCTTATTAATAAATAGCTTCGCGTTGCCCAACAACCTAAAAATATTCTTTGACGAGCGTCGAGCCGGTTATCAAGGATTTAGATGATCGATATTCGGCGTGCGTCCTCCGTTACGTCGTCGCTGTTATTTTCTGCCATCGTAAATAACTTCCGGCCATACGAACACTTTCGTTTCGAAGAATTAACGAGCCCAAAGATCTCGTAATGAAATTCTCCGAGTCATCGGCTAATCGCTACGATCTCCAATTTCCAGAGTTCTGCTCGACCCTGGTCTGGATGCTGAACTCCTCGAGCATCCTGCAGGAGTTGACCCTGACCTCGATCGCGATTTTCACCGCGATCAGCACCAGGGACGTCCATCTGACGAAAAATCATCTTAAGTATCACCTGGTGAGCCTGAGCGTGATCAGCGCGTGCATCGGAGTGACGGGTGTCCTGAACTTCGAGCCGGAGCATTGCGTCTTCCTGGCGCAAGAGATCTCCTTGAAGTACGGCGTCTTCGTCAACTCTCTGAGGTGTCTGCTGATGCTGACCACCGTGATCAGCCTGCTTCTGGCTCTGGTCAGAACGCTGTGTCGGACACCGAAGGGAGAACTGCTGAAATCGGTGTCGGATCTGTCGGATGCCAGCTCCAAGAACTCTTCGGGCGCTTTCGAGTGTCATCCACAGCAGTGGGATCCTTCGAGTGGATCTTGCACCAGCGGGTCCACCAATAGCAGAGCCTGCTTGAGGAAGAAAAAGGTCCAGGTGGACGAGGCTAGCGGGAAGTCGACGATTTATAGCATTCTCTTCGCTTGCTACGCTTTCCAGCATGTCCCCATCCTGGTGAGTCGATTCCGCAAGTTTCTTTGCTCGTTCTTCGCTTCGAATTCATCGCTCGAGACTTTGTTTCGAGTTGGAATCGTATTTTTGCAATATCTTTTTATGGACTAGGTAAATTCTTCGTCGATTTTGAATACGAAGTTTCGCAACTTTGCGTTCAAATTAAGGAGAACATTTCTCGAAGGAAAATTACCAGGATCCTTACGGATTCTGAACGTATTAATTTCGGATGATTTTAACACGAATATAATTTTGTTACCAAGTCGGCAGTTTATAATACAGCATTTCAGCTGCCAGGAGAAATTTCTGAAGCGCTCGCGAACAACAAAGTCAAAGGGTAAATCATTTTAAAAAAATTGCAAACGGCGTGAGCGTAAAGTGATTTTTTTGGTGTCGATACTCGATAGCCGGTAATAGCCACCTCTCGCGACAGATTTATCGCCTCGGGATTTATTAAACGCTCGGTATCCCGCCGATAGAAGTTGGTTGGCTCGAGCAAATTTGCTCCGACCTAACCGTCTCGGCCATAACAGCCGTATTTCGTAATATCCACGAAATCGCGGGCGCGCAGCGAGCCGTGACAATGTTACACGATCGGAATCGATGGACCCGACTCACGTCTGATCTATCATTTGCGAACGATTAAAAGCGCACGATTGCGCGACCCCGCTTTGTAATAGCCTCGCGCGATCGCATAATTCGTTCATTAAATTAGCCCGATAAATTGCTGTCCAATTACGGCCCGTTGTTTCCTAATGTGAATATTTATCGGCGCGTTAGCAGCTAATATCCGCTGTATCTTTCGAACAATTCATTTTTCCCCGTCGAAGCTAATGCAACAATCGATCCTAGCGTTTCGTAAACAATTCGTGGCTTTCTTTGTTCTTCGACCGGAACAATGAGCTACTAAATAAACTAGTTTAGTAATTAATAGAGAACGCGAGAGAACTTTTCTAAGTTCAATCTTTCTCTCGTTCTTTGCGAAATAATTCACGAAAATGGATTTCCGCTTTAAGATTTACGGTTCGTGTCTTCGTTATTTGTTTACGGCGCTCTAATTTCGGTTTGATAAGCTTGGAAACGGTTTACGGTGATTTCCGAGCGCGGAAAGTCACTGAAACGAGCGAACAATCGCGAACGAGTTCATATGAAAAGATCGACTGAACCGGATCACGAGGGTCCCCGGTGAACCGGAAGTCGTCGTGGGTCTCTGCCATCCGGAAGCAGCCGGTGGCATCGACCATGCTCTCTGTTTCCCGCACCGGAATTCCGTTCATCGACTAGAAAGCTGCGCGGGCCGACAGAGACAGAAACAGACGATTGTCTCCTCGCACGAATCCGGCGATCTTCTTTCACGTGCAAGCCTGACTCTCGATCGAAGTTCACGACCTATCAATATTCATCCAGCGTGGCCGATTGTCTCGTGCTCGATGGGAAACAGGGACGAGGGGGGCGCGCGCCGAAAACGCGCGTCAAAAATATTCGAAAGTGCGAACGGCTTAATACGGCCGACGACCTCGATGCCGGGCCCGATTGGGATTCGTTAAATGCTCCACGGAGAAACTAGCCAGACTTCTTGCTCGTTAATATTTATAATCGCGACCGCCGGTGACGCACTGTGTTTGTAATCGCCGCCGCTGGCCGTCATTTAATTGGGTTGGCTTCTGTGCGGGCGTTCAAGTCCCCGGCGCTCGGGTCGGTCGCGGTCGCATTTCTCCGTCGTTCGTGCACGTTTTCGTTGACAATCGGATTTGAAAAATTGCCGAATACCTTTGCATCGCTTGCTCCGACGATCTACGATTGAATTTAAAATGTTTCTTCATTTTTGTTGGCTGCGGATTTAAAAAATGCAGGAGACAGATCCATATTAGCAAAGAAGAATGTTTCTGAATTACTTTCGCTTCCATGATTTTGTATTAAATAAATTAAATTTGTCTCTGGTCTTAATTCTCCTAAAATCATTCGTGACATCTGAAATTAGTCGTACATTTTTATTATCTGGAATTATCGTAGTTCAATAACGTACTAGGAATTCTCTATCTTAATTTCATTTAGTTCCGATAGCAGGCCTCTGCTATCTACTGCCTTGATCTTATGAAATACTCGAAGCTTTACAGAAAATCAATTATCCTACACATCCATGCGAGTATTATACACAACAGAGGCATAGATAAAAGTTAATATTCCCGGCGTGTTGCTTTAACGAGGAAAAAGTAGAGCAGAAATCGAGAAACGATTTTTACGAGTGTCTGTAGAATGTGTCTGTGAAAATCAGATTACACCGGGTGTTGAATTAGTTCGTGTCGAGACTTGCTTAAGGATCGGAGAATCGTTGGAAGAAGTCAATGAATTCTGTTGCAGCGGCGCGAGTTCCCATTGGCCGAGCGCGTATTCCATTTCCCGTAATCATCGATCGGCGAGCGGGATCGTGCAATTAAACAATCGTACGGATTTCCCAGGGATCGTCCGGTGGAACGAGCCGATAAAATCGAGCCGATCCGGATCGACTCGACTCGACCTGGATTTAAAGGGAAACCGTGTATGCAGGCTGGTTACTGAAAATCGATCGGATCCTAAGCGATGTCCGGCGCGTGTAGCGTGACGCTTCACGCGACTCCTCGCAATTAAAAGCGAGCTCGTTTCGGATTCAGCGCGAGTTTGTTGCTGGAATTGATCGGAGAAACTCGCGTGTGCGTCTGGTCGTCTATAGTCCACGGCTTATACAGCCGATACCTATGAAACGAGGACTCGAAGGGCACGAGAGAAAACCGAGAGAAAAATACGACGCCGGACATGGGCGCGCGATGAGGATCGTTATGGTTGTGTAGCACGCGTGTAACTTAACATGGGGCTTGTTACGTATTGAAACCGCGTAGCATCGCGCGTCGAAAGTATGTTCGCTCGTGTACGGTCGTGTTCCTCCGGAGATTCGGAGCGGAAAATCCTCTCGGGAACTCTAATTGCGGGGATAATTGACGCTCTGGAAATCAGGGGCGGATCCTCGAGCCGATCGATCGTTCGATCGTCGTTTTATTCTCTCATGGTAGAATATACATACGCGATATATTTATAGCAGGATCAGGATGATCGAGGAGCGTGTAAAATCGAGAGAGGGAAACTCGCAGGAACATAAAGTCGGCCGTAATGTAATTAGAAATAGAAAAGAATCGCCGGATCTGTAATTATTTGCAGATAAAATGTTATTGGCGAAAGTGGATCGTCGTATTGTCAGCGAGATTGATCGCGGCGTTCGGTCGTTTTTTAACCCGAAAGAAATTAAGAGCATTATGTTATTCCGTGCTACGCTTTTACTTTCATAATTAGCGGTTTATCTCGAAATCCGACATTGTATCGGCGCCGCGGAGCACGTTGCAGGGCAAATGTGAAAATGTTAAGCACCAGATTTGTACGAAATGATAGCGTAGAAAAGGGTTCTCATTAGAATGGAGAGTGCTTATGGTGGTTCACATTTTTACGGACTAATTCCCAGACGCGAGGATTGAAGTTTCACTTTCCCTTGCATGTATAATCAAATTATCTGCAACTATGGTTTCGTGGAAACGTGGTCTCAACCTTTTATTTCATTTTCATCTTATACGGAGCTTGTTATTCGCTATCATTGAATTGCAGAACTTTGTACATATACAGGAAAAGTTTCTTCGATCGTTTCGTGTGGTGAGAATAAAATCGAAATATCCTGTACTCGATAATTCGTTTAATTACAAGTTTAGAAACGGACTTTCGGATCGGTGGTCCATCGACGCGAAAAACGAGGGCCCGTGAATAAAACGGCGCGTTCGGTGGTCGGCCCCGATGTGCAAATCTGAATACGTTCTTTCATTTTCTCCTCCCGCGAAAGACCTCCAAGTCACCGTGATCACGGTGTGGGAACGTTAGCCAATATTTTTGCCGGCTTTCCAGCGGCGTTTCTTCGTGCCATCTGCTTTCTAAGCGCAAAAGATCTCTGGTAATCGGCGAGAACTGCGTGGCGTGGCGCGGCGCTCGAGTGAAATTCGAAATTTGATTAGATCGGCCGTGAACGGTTTCACTGTGTTAGTGGAACGATATTTCGAGGTTTCCCTTTCCACGGGAGCGCGACTTTCGGCGAGCGCTCCGCTAATTAATAAACTACAAACGGATGAAGTTGGAACACGCGTTCTCGCGAGACCTGCCGCGGAATCTTCCTCGAAGATCAGCGTTTTTGTTCGACTTTTAGCCGAATAGGATCTCGAACACGCGTTGCACGCCGCCTCCTAATCGTTCCGAGTGTAAAAATGTAAATGCTCTCCTGAATAAATCATCCAGCGTTTTGCTCTTACAAGAATTCATAGAAATGTATACATAGAATTATCGACAAATACGCTTAACTCGGTGATGGCTGTGAAAGTTTGTCCAGAGTTATGTTCTCTCAGATCCATTGAAAGAAATCGAAGCTTAATTAGATTTCAGTTTCTTTCGCTGGTGAATTCAATGAATTAAACCCCGAGAGGGATCTGTGGCAATTAAATACACATCGTGCTCTGTAAATTCTAACCGCGATAAGGCAGTAGAAATTCCAGTAATTACGTATTATGTAAAGCCGGGCGCGGTGTACAAAACAGAATGGCGCCTCTTTAATTTCATAGGATTTCGGAAATGCGGAGCACATCGTTTCCGCGGATAAAAATTAAAAAGAGAGATCCGAGATTCGCGTTCCCGCGGGAGGTCTTTCAATCGCGTACACACGCACACGCCGCTTCGGATTTTAGATTGCGTAATTTATGTGATTGCCTATCAAAACGCCGCGATCCTGGAATCGCTTCGCGTAAATCGTTTCCACCGTAATCCCGGGGAAATGGATTTCACACGTGGTTCCCGTTGCTACGGTACCCGAAACCCTTTTCCGCCCGTGCCATTAACTTTTACGTAAACCGACAAAACAGTGTCCAGACTTTCTTTGTTACGCAATCGTTTGCTTTTCGATTTGTTCCCCTCCCCCTCTGTTCGAACCAGAACGCTTTTGGCCGCGCAAAAATGAATCGCGATTATCGGCGGACCGTGGAAATAAAAAGTTATCGATCGCAACGCTACAGATGCCGTACGATATCGTTGGAAGTCCGCGGTTTTATAAATCTCTGGAAGCTTTGTAAAAATACGCCGCGCGGGAGCCGCGCGTTCCACGTTTCTACATTTAATCGCGTGTGTTACACATTTCGCAAAGATTGCAATAATCGTCAGGGTTTGAAAAACAAAGCTAAGCAGCGGCGGGCATCGAAAAAGGAAGCGCGGCCATTCCGTGAACACTCGAAAAGTGAAACTCTCGTTTCCAAACCGCGACTTCCATTCCCAGCCCCAATTAATCAGACACTTCTATCGACACAGCGTGTGTCGGCAACGCTGAATCATTGTTCCGATTCAGCTCGTCCTCGAACACCCGTTGACTTTCGGGAGGGATCCAAGGAATGCGGAGGATCCGTTTGCGTAGGGACGGAACCGCGCAGAAAAATTCGCGTACGTGGCGCGCGACGCGCAACGCTCTTGATCGCGCGCTTTTGAAAGCGCGACCGAGGCGAGTTTTCACTGTGGAAATTTCCCGCTCGCGCGGCTCGTTAAAATCGAAAGTAAAGCGGCCACGTAAGACCCCGCCGCCGTGTTTCGCCGTTTCCCTCGTTCGCTATATTTTGTCTCGGCTCTCCTTTTCTGCCCTCCATTGGGACTCATCGGCGCCGCGCCGCGCCGCTCGCGATGCTAAATTGCAGCGGCGCACGCGTCCCTTGTCTATCGACGCATTTCGCGAGCCGAACAATTAGTGGCATGCGATATGCAAGTCGGCTGCATTCCGATTCGACCGATTTTCGCCCCGGGGGAAAGCGGTCGCTCGCGCTCGTGCTCGACACGATTTCTTCGGCAGAATTATCGACAGATGCGCCGCGTCAAGCCGCGCCAAGCCGGTTGTCTGCTGCAACAAACTCTTTATGGCCCATTTACGGCTTCAGCGAGTCCGGGAAAAATTCCACCGGCCGTTGTTAGCCTCTCGCGCGTTTTCCGGTCGAAAACGAGCCTTTCTTCCCATTACTTCTTGCTTCGCGAGCCTGCGGAATTTCTCGTAGGATGGGTCGCGCGTAGCAGCCATTTCCGCGACGATTTTGTTTGTTCAACGGTGCTTCGTTTCCGCTGTCTTTCGCCGCGATTTTAAGCACGTTCATTACGATCTTTTCCAGGTGATATCGATCAAGCCGAGCCTCCTCACAGACTTCTGCACACCTCAGAATCTCGCAACGTGGCTACCTCTCGTCAAAGACACCCTGCTACCAGTTTTTCTGGCGCTGTTCGACAAGATGTTCTGCCGCTACGTGGCCAAAGTTTACTCGAAGCAGGATCACGCGAGGAGATTGTCTCACGGTGAGCTTGCACCACATCGAGAACTCAAATTAATCTAAAACCATCGAACATAAATTTATTCTGACCTACTTGTGATATAATTCGCTGCATCATCGGTGCAGCAATTCTCAGCATTCCGTCGCCAAACAATTACAAATCGAACGTTTCTCCAATTTTTTCGAGCGCGCCGACTTTACGGTCGTACTCTGCGCACCTGAAAGTACTTCGGTGAATTTTCGCCGAATTTTCGGACGCGTCGCACTGCGGTGTTTCGCTTGGCGAAAACACCGTGCGTTCCAAGTTGAAAGAACACTCGATCGGAACAGAGCTGGCTGTCGTAACGGTTGTTCGGGTTCAGGGTTGGCGCGGTAACTTTTCCGGATGCATCTTCGGACATTGGTCTCTCGAGGCTCGTCTAATATTTCGCAGCACGAAAGTTCAATCACCGCGAAAAAAACGGCGTTTCGCGTGGCTCGCGTCGAGTCCGGTAACACGATCGAAGAAACAGGATTCCGTGGTATTTCCACAACGGCGGATGGCATCGATTCGCGGATGAAAAATGCACGCGCTGACCCGGTGGCACGCGTGGGAACGGGTTATCGAGATGCATCAACGCGTAATCGCCAAGGAGAAATATCAGTTATGCGACACAGCCGCAGTCTCTCGCAATCGCGGTAACCGCACACCGCATCGTTTCCCTTTTACTCGTACGATTTAGTTTTTCCCATCAGCCCTGACATTATTCGTCCCAATCTCGTGACTCGTCCCTTCATTCGATCGTTCGTACCTCGGATCGCCACGTATCCGCAACGAACGCTGCTAGCACAGTTCGAAGGGAGAATACAAACTGCCCGTTTCATCGATTAAAAGCGCGGAATTTGTACGATGGGTTCGCGAGGAACGCGATGATGCCGCATGCACGTCCGCGGCGAATTTTAATTGCCGCAAGTTGCGATTTTCTGGCGGTGATACACCTCGGCTATAATTTCCCCGACCCGAATTACTCGGCTAATTTCCCCTTCACTCTCGCGACTCATTTTTCTCTCCCTTAATGAGCCCGCCTATCCGTCCAACAAGTCATTAATCAAGATTTGCATAACGTCCCGCTCCACGGGGATGATTTATTCTCGCCGCGGCGATCTCGCGATGGTAAGTAATTAGAACCTTAGGACGAATTCCCCGCTGTTCCCTTCTTTCGCGGTCGGCTTTAATTGGAAGATGCAAATCCGCGAGCTTGATCCGCCGATACGAATCGCGGTGCCAATTTCCCTTTCGCTCCTACGACCGGTTGCTTTTTCGCGGAGAAACGCGCGGCCAAATCCGGTCCGGTTTGATGGAATTTTTAATTTCTCCGCTTCGAGGATTAATCGGGATCTCGGCGGCGCGCCCTCCCGGCGCGGGATTTCGCGGTTTCGTTCGCAGCACAGCGCCAGAGGCCCGGACAACCGGAGTCGCGTTCGCGGATTTTCGCAAGAGAGGCGGAGAGAAATTCGCCGATTTCACGAAAATTCACTGGTACGCTTCCTTTCGCAGGCGGCATAGACGGCAAGTTTCGACACTTCGAGCAGGACGCCGAGTACAAGCTGCAGCTGAACTTAAACCAAGGCCTGAAGTTCCCCTTGACTAACGGAAGCCTCTACGGACGGTTGCACAACCATCAGAACAGAGGCGAGTAGACCAGCCCCACCTCCATTCATTCCTACGATCGTTTTTCTCTCCGAGGAATGCACCGAAACGCGTTCGAATTCAGAAAATCGCTTTAGATCGACGTCGATAATCAGCCGTTCGCTGATTACCTGTTGAACTCCCATTTTTCTTACAATACTAAGACGTTGCTACGAATAGAACACATAAATTGAACGTAGATCTATCATCGGAATATAATTTCATCGATTTCTAATAGATTTCGTACGTTTCGAACGAGTCGGAAAAAATGCGGCTTACTCAAACATCAATTTGCTATACGTCCGTTTCATTGCCAGCAGAATTATGCGTAGCGTTGAATTCCGTACGGTTTCTAAATTTTGTAAAGGAGCAACTCGCCAAAGAAGAGCGATTATCCTTGGCGTTTCACTTAAAAAAAAAATCGTTTCCAACTTTGTAGCAATCTTCTAGTCGCCACTTACCGCAATTACGTTCATTACACGCTTGCACGGTACCTTTATCGTCCCTACAGCGAATTACGGTTTTCGCGAGGCATCCCCGTAATTTTCTAGTCAGGAATCTCGTTCCGTTTTGGTTTTCGTGATGCATGGAAAAAGAAATCCGATATCAAATGTGCTCGCTCGCGCACCGCCACGCTCGCCTCTTGTGCAACAAAGCCCGTGCCTGCAACTGTTTATTAGCATAATGCCGGTGTATCCACTGCAAACATATTCCCCCTTGCCCCTACCAGGTCCCCTAGAATTTTTCGCGAACGAGGGATTCCGTTCCGACTGCGGCAAACGTACGTACTTTCCATTCGATACGTTCGCCATTTAGAAACACTTACACCATTAATCCTGGCCGATCCGCAATCGATATTTGCAGAGGCGTGAACGCACATCTCCATCGAACAATGTCGTTGCGACATCGTTCATCCGGGGACTCGTAAAGTTTAACGCCGACGCCATTTGTTTCGATAACTGTCGGCACCGTTACGATATTTTATTCGGGACGCTGTTGACCCGTGACAGTGCTAAACGATTTTTTACGCCGATAACTTCCCGCGGATCGATTTCGCAGGGAGCGTCTCCCGGAGACGACGCATAATTCCTCGCATTTGTTTCTCGTCCACATCCTTAACAACCGTTTGAGTCCCAAGCAGCACGATCGCGCTGTTCAGATCTTGTATCGCGATCAAACTTTAGCGACGCGCGTACCTGTCTCTTATACACATCTAGATGTGTATAAGAGACAGGTCCCAAGCAGCGCGATCGCGCTGTTCAGATCTTGTATCGCGATCAAACTTTAGCGACGCGCGTACATCGCACAGCTACTTTTTTTCATTTGTTTCTTTGTCAATCTTGACGACCGCTATCGCGCCGCTTGGTTCTCTTCGCGATCAATTAAGACAAGCGCTATTACGCTGTTCGACACTTTTCGACCGTGTTTTCTGAATAACCCCTGGGACTCGAACGGTTAAACACGTGCTACATCGAGCAAAAGTCGATTACCGAATGTACCGTCGGCTTAAAAACTGACTCTAAATCTGTAGAAGCAATTTTTGATCGTCGTTCTTAGAAGCAAGAGATACTTATCAAGATTATAAAGTATTATATATTATATTAATATTATATATTATATATTATATATTATATATTATATATTATATATTATATATTATATATTATATATTATATATTAATGAAATAATAACAGAAATAAAATTCGTTCGAAGCATGGAGTCGTTTCCAGAGACATCGACGTATTGCTTGTCTAGCAAAGACACGCGGTGATACCATTGTTCGGAGAGAAGTTACCAGTCGGTGTTTACAAGAAATCGCATGGTTCTCTCGACGAGCTACTCCCGATTGGCGAACATGCTCTGAATTTTTGATCGCGAGGCTCACGCGACCCGCTTAACACGCTCGAGGAAATTCGTAGGACGATAATCGTAGACGGAGTCTCCTCGGAGATACCTGCGAGAACTCGAACGTCTTAAATAATGGGCCGCCGTTCAACTGGAAAATCGATATCCCCGGTCACGTCCCACGGTATCGCCGTATCCTCGATCGGGGCCATTACGTCGTGTCCTTGAAAACAACATCCTGCGAGTTCCGTTTCCGATAACGTCACCGAGCCATCCCTTCATAAACATTTCAGACTACAATCCTCGCGAGCTGAACATATTTACTCGCTGAAAATCCTAGGATCCAGATTTCAACATCTTCCATCTCTCATTTTTCTAAGATCAGCGTGGTGCGATTAGATCGTGTTTAAACTCGTGTAAAGTGGCAGCACGAAGGTCAGATGGAAACGATTGACAACAACAAAATAGTACGTAGACGATTGAAAATAAAATAGCATAGTTCGATTGAAAATGAAACGGATCTCGCAAGATCTTGCGAGCATCCTCTGCGTAGACGTCTCCCAAATATTTGGCCAAACAATGCTAGCCGTGAAACGGGTCCGACGAGCGAGGAGAAAGTGCCGGGACGCCGCCGTTAAAGGTTAAAGCGGAGGAATCAATTAAATCGATCCGCGCCGAGCCACAGTCTATTGAGTCGATTAACTTCGAGGCTGGAAGCATCTTTCTAACCGGCCGATCAATTTACAGGAAAGACCGGAACGATCACAATGGGCATTCAGCACTATCCTCGGACACAATCGATGAACGAGGACAGCAATTACGCCTCCCTGCCGGCGGAGCTTTCTTCGTTCACCAGTTCAACGTTCGAGCCGCGTCAGGACACGAACCCTGTCGAGCCGGCCAAGAAGACCGCGATCGAACAGCTGAACAAACGGCCGAGACCGAACGAGAGCTTCCAGGAGTTGACTGGCAATCGGTGGAAGATCGGCAGCACGGACGTTTTCGGACAGAAGATGGAGAATCTGGTCCAGTTGGACGAGCCCTGTCCGAAGCGAAAGTTCACCAAGAGTTTGGACGAGATTCGAGAGGAGCCTCCGAGGAGGCACGCGAGGAGCGTACTGGGATTGGAGAACTTGATCATAGGATTGGATAACAATCTGCAGGAGCAACCTCGATACCCTAGAGTTGCTCTGAGAAGGAATCAGAGCTTCGACCATGCTAGATGCCAATCGTGAGCTGGAGTTACTATTAACGAGTTCATTAGCCGCTAAAATATGATAGCAGACAAATTTGGATTCTTGTCGATTGTGAAACTTAAAGGTTTCTTATTGCTTCTACGAATATTTAAAATCATTGTCGTGTACTACAAATTGAAAGCACTCTTTTTTTCGAAGATTAATCTATAATCCTAGAATCATGGAATAGCAGACAAATCTGTAACTCCTTTAAACTATGATCTTAAAAGATCCCTGCTGGTTCTGTAGAGGAACCGTTCAACCTCGTTGTGTACTCGGCACACAAAATAATATTCGCTCACGGTTTCAGGTATCATCGACCATTTCTCGACTCGAGGACGTACGACTTGAAGAAGCAGGATCCGAAGAAGGACGTGCAGCAGAATGTCCAAAGACAGGATGCTCCGAACGAAGCTGACGGATACGAGACTTCCGACGACGAGAGCTGCGACCTTGAGAACGGTGACTTCGACACGATGAGCTCCTGCCGAAGCCGAAGCAGGAGCTGCTGCTCCGTCACCACGGTGGCGAACGATGATTTCGAATATTTTCAACGTAAGGGAACGAAGGTATCATTACGTACACCTTTATATGTTGTTAATCATTACTGGACTGTAGATCGTCTCTAACGCTAATTATAAATACGTCGTTAATTTGTATTAACGGAGATCCGCGGTCTACGCGTTATGCGCCTCGGTAGAGCTAGGTTCGATCGCGAAACATCACCGTGTAAATAATACCTTGTGGAAAATTGGGACTCGTTGCATCTTCGAACTAATCTTCGCCTACCGATCATTTCTTAAAACACTAAGTAAGTACATTTGGTGGTAGCAAAGTGGCCTTCTCTAGATTTGACCAACCAACGTGAATTTAACGTCAAGAATTCCTGTATCCAAAAAAAAGCACCGCTTCGGCAAGCTAATCCCAGTAAGCACGATCCAACAAAATTCCATGAACCCGCTAAGGAGATCAACAAGCGCCTATAAAAGCAGAACGAAGGAGAACTTGGGAAGGTGTTAACCAGCCGGTAATCCCGGGAGAGATCCCTCGATCGCCTCGGCCGAGGTTCAAGTTTAAAAGCTATCTTCCATCGTGTAAGATTCTCCTCGCCCGGATCCTCGTCCCGCTCCTCTCCCGGAAGGCCACGCCTAAACGCTTTTCGCACGTTCGTCTCCGAGCAGGATCACCGCAAAACGGCCGCGTATCTCTGCGGCGAGCATGAACACCGCATCGAAGCCGCTCGGCACTTTATTGGCCTTTCTTCGGGTTGCGGAATCGCGGATCGTGAGAACGTGCTGTTTTGCAGGTGGAGCTGCTGCCCTCGAAGAGAACCGGCGGCGAGGTAAAGGTCAACATGCGATCTTTCACGCCGAGGATCATCGAGCACGGTGCGGAGGACGAGAGGAGGAGCAAGCGGCAGGCGCCGGACACCAAGCCTAGCATACAGTCCTACCACCTCAAGAAGAAGAGGATCGGTCCTGGTTTCTCGATGAACGACCTGGACAAGCTCACCGTCGACAGGAAGCTGCCCGATCTGTCGATCGACAGCCTGAAGAGCATCCTGACGAACTCCGGAGTCAGCTACCTGGATAACGGCGAGCTCTGCAGACACGACATCGGCGGCTCGGCGCCCGACTTCAAGAAGATCTTCGTCACCGAGTTTATATGAAGGCTAGAGGAAAGTTTTTAGGATCGTTCACGATTTTAGAGGATAGACCGCGGGTTCTCCGGCCGCTTGGAGAACCTGGAAGAGCGAGACGAAGGATATTATAGCTTGAGAGAATAGAGGAGCTGAATAATAATCGGAGCTAGCTTACCGCTGACGAAGGTAGAGAGATTGTTCTGAAGAGAATGGCTGAGGCGTTAACGAATAAATAGGACTCTTCGGAACTAGAGGATCGATGACAGAGACTGTACAAAGTGTTCATACGAAATAAGAGATCCGCGGCTGCTCGTATCTGTACAGAGTACTAACTAACTTTGTTACCCGGAGCTACTCGTTCACTATTTATTGTATACAAAATTCTTGAACGTTCGGAAAATTTCTGAAAAAATCCCGGCCAATTAGCGATCGATACCTAGAGTTTCGAAGATCCTTGAAATGGCTCAAGGTGGCGGATCAACTTTGTATAGATGAAAGGGACGAGCAGCCGGCTTATGAAATTAAAAGAGTTCTGTTTTTATACGACCCGGGGAGCCTGTACAAAGTGTTCTTGTAAATGGAAGAAGCTTCGTTTTAGGAAAGTTAGGGAGAAATCGCAGCAGTTCCTCGGATCTAGGGAATTATGTAACTGCCGCGCGGAAGTAGTCGGATTGGAAAGTCTGCGAACGCACCGCATCGGCTCGAAGAAATCATTAATTAAATCAATTGTCGGTATCATTCTTCTCCGGCGGTTTTTAATCGTCGCGATCGCTATCGCGCCGTGTCAATGCGATGAAAGCCGCGATCGGGCTGCTGCACTCTGCTCGAACAATGCGGGGAACGTTTTATTCATAGTTCACGGGGCGAGAACGGCGAGATGTTTCTCGATGGTCGATTCTGCGCGAGCATTCGCGCGGAAAACCGTGCTAAGATAATTCGTGACTGGAGTAGCAGCAAAATGGAAATGAAGTTTATTCGAGGTGGACCCGCGTTTAAACAGGACAACGCATTACGGCGATGCGCCTGACGGTAAATCACCGGCGCGAACGAGTTACGAGGCACAGGATCGAAATTGCAACGGGCTGAATTACGTTCCGCGCGGGCCAGGCGAACGCTAAACAGGAACGCGAGCAGGCACGTGTAAAATATTTGTAAAATATACTCCTATTGTTTCCGCGGTTACGTTCCGCCGGTTTTATTACGTAAGAAAATCTTTTGTAAGCGTTTGCGCTCCCCACCCCCCTTCGGTATTGTATGGAGATCGTTTTGTATATACCTTGTATATTTGTATGGTAATATTTAATTCGGCAAATACATGTGTACGTGGCAACGCGTGTCCCGATTTATCTCTGCGATACCAGATCGAAATCCAATCACTTTACTCCGACCTATCGACCTGGATTCATCGATTTTTTCGACGTGATTTAAGATTTTTCGTTCGCATCAAAACGAAGCCATTGCATAGCGCGATGCGCAAGCTTCGATTTAAGCACCCTAACGTTAAAAAATATCCACGGGAACACATTCCAGAATTAATTCGAAAGAACCCATTATAATCGAGGGAGTTGTTCTTTGAACAGTCGATCGAGATTCATCGATTCTTCCAGATTTAAAATTGTTTGCTTCAACGAAAATGAATCTATCTTAAAGCGCGATGTTCAAGCTTTCATTCGAGCCCTCGAATGTGAAAATGATCCCGCGGGAACATCCTTTAAAATCGATATGAAATAACCGCTTTAAAACGAGGGTATTTTTAATGGTTTTTTTTAAAGCTGATCGAACCTGTCATAAAATGGGATATTCGAACTCGGATCGAAGGTCTCGAAAATGAAAAGATTCCCACACGTGAACGCAATCTAAAATCGATACGTAACGACCCTTTAAAATTCATTGCCTTCCCTTGAACGACCAATCGAGGTGTCTCGATTTGAAACGTGTCATTAACGTCTCCTCTTTTTCTTTCCAGAATCACACTCGAATCCCGCAGTCCCTAAATGGTCCCATCAAAATGCACCGCTCGTTAGGTATAGCAAAAAGACTCTTTATTTCTTGCTATTGATCCTCTTAAACTAAAATATCTCCGTATAAATAATCATCGTCGGACCGCGCGGGCCTCGCGCGAATATAATCTCGCAGAAACCGAGCAAAACGGAAAGACGGAGCACGGAGCTCGGCAGACGGATAAAAATTCGACGTGTTTCATGAAATTTCATATCGGGTCGTGGACAATCATGCGAGCGCTATAAACGCGCGAGGCATAAACGATCGACCGATTGCAAAAGCGACGAGGGAGAGGAGAAAGAGAGAGCACAGCGACGGTTTGTACCAGCTCTAGAATCTCTATCGACTGCCTCGAACGTCGCTTAATTAGTTTCAGTGAACCGGAGCCGTGTTCGTAGGCGGTCGTAAAGGCTGCTTATTGGCTGACAGCCCGCAATTATTACGTATTACGTGTACAGAGTATCGGTATTCGTTGTTTTTTCCCCCCCTGGCGGATACGAGCGAGATTCGTTCTCGACGAGATTAAATGGCGCACGCCCTCCGATAGCGACCCCTCCTTTCCTAATCGTCGCTTAATTACCTAATTAAATTATACAGCGCGTTTTATTACGCTCGCGTTGACTAGCAATACACGGTTTGGCATCGTTAATCGTAGAGAAATCCGTGACATTATGTTACGCGCTCGCCTCCGAAATATTATTTCAAGACGGAACAGTAGTATGTAACTCTCTAATTGCGCGCCAGTGGCGTAGAAACGGCTCGACGCGCCCCCCAGACAAAAACCGTGGGGATCCACTCGTACAAGCCCAGGCACGCACGCACATTTATACATATACATACGGACGCACGGTGCATCGTTACGCAACGTGCATCCACGCGGGAATGCACTCGTCCGCCGCGGCGCGACAAAAACGGGAATCGTTGCAGTTAATGAACGCTGATAATTCGTCCCGGATAAAATCGGCCGGTTTTTCTGCGGCGGGATAAACGCCGACGATTTCGCAATCGGCCGGCTCTCGTCGCCGAGACGCGCGCCTTGTCAAATTATTTGCGGATCGGGCTGATCCTGGACTCGGCTCGGCGGGGCGTCGCGTCGTTGCGCCAGGCTTTTTTGGTCCGGTGATCGACTAAAAGAAAATTATTCGCTAATACAGTCGTTGACGTGGGAGGTATGGCTCGCGTTTTACAGAACAGGGCCGCGCGTCTTTTGCGAAGAGATTGCCGTTATTAAATTTTAGGGTCTGTAAATGCTGCGTGTTTTTTGATTTCGCGGACACCGAGGAGAGAGCCGAGAACGAGGATCGTAAAGAAATCGTCGTGAAAATCTCTTTTTCGTTATTAAACCTCGAGCCTTCGACAGCCCCATAAAACTTATACTATAGATTTTATGCATTCGACAGAATTATTCGGGCATCGTGAGAGAGTCGAACGTGTCTCACATCCTCCGATGATTAAAAGACGCGTCGTCGGCAAATTAACGGACGCTGCGCCTTTAAATTTCATTCGGTCGAACAAATTACGTGTACAGGGGTCTCGTAAAAATCTCGGCTCGAAAAAATTCGATAAGCGCGGCTCTTGCTCTTACTTAATTAGACGATAAGCTCGATCGTTTGTATAGAATCTAACCAGACCGTAAAATCTCCTGCCGTTCCTTGTTTGTCTTCGCAGAAGCAGCCGCAGCTCGGAAAACGTCGCGGCGACGGTCTAAGATGTATCGTTTCGTCAAAATTGAGACCTTTGGGATAACGAATCGGCCTTAAAACTAGGATGTTTCTACGCCACCGTAAAAAATAGGACTCTGTGCTTTGGTAGATGATTGCAAGATCGAGATACGATGGTCCCGATCGGTGAGATCAGTGGCTCGCGTAGACGAGATCGTTTCCGCGAAAGATTGCTTCGATCATCGACTTCCGGTTGAACTTTCCGCCCCTGGACTCGACGATCGCCACCAGTTGCTGATATCGCTTCCACGCGGTCACCGAGGCCGCTTCCCCTTCCGGCGTATTCTTAATCTTCTGATACACATCCGTGCTCCTGACCGCAGCTTCCGAAGTCTGACAGACGCTTTCCGTGTCCGGTATCATCTGAAATATCACACGGAACCCAATCAGAACCGGCGATACCCGGGGTGAGTCGAAAACATAATTCTCTTCTCAACGCGCGATACCAAATTTTTACTACAGCTGGAGAAAATAATTGTTCTTTACATGCTTCTTATAATTTCGATCGATCGGTTAATCTTAAATTGAATTCGATTTTCCCCTCCGCGTTTTAGTATCTTTTTGCGGAGCTAAATTTTTATTACATCGGAGAACCTCAATTTTTAATTTCTGCACTTTGAACGAAAATATTGAATCCTTCTTGTAATTTTCTATTTATTTCGCACTTTCTCTCTTACGTTTCGTCGCTGATGCTAATCGATTGTAGCCGGATTCGTCGGGAGATCAAGCGAACATTTTCGTAAACCATTGGCAGCGATCGTTAAAGATCAGAATTCAATCTTCCGTGGCTTTCTGTAACGCTCTGCACGCCGGCAGCCACGACGAGAGATCGAATATTCTATTTTGAAAAGTGCTCGGTCTAGCCGAGCAAGCCGCTTCGAAAACTCGATACTTCCATTTGCTAAACCCTTTATTCTCCGTTCGACAAAAAGCTCTTGAGCCCTGTAGCCACGCATCGTTCCAGTCAAACAGAGGATTCCGAATCGTCAAGCCGTAGTTTACAACCGTTGCTTCCGCTAAAATTCGCTCTGCAAGATATTACTTACTGTCAACCACCCTTAACCAGACGAAGTCCCATTGTTCCCGACGTGGCTGCCTATTGTTCGTGAAAAGTTCACAACTAAAAGTACAGAATTTCTAAAAGGTTTCGAACGCGTTCTATCGGATTGAAAAACTTCAATGAGACTCGCGTGTGAGAACTTGCAGAGAACTTTAATCGACGATTACGGCTCCGTAAAGTGCTAAGATAATCTGTCAAACGGCGTCAATTTTAATTCTCTCAATCTTGAAATTAAAGTCAGTTCTATAAAATTGTAATTTCCCCTGTCGATCGGCGATCGATTTAAAATGCAACGTTAAAGGTAGAATGCACGTCGCACGATTGCTCGTTTATCACGAGATCGGAGCGCAAGAAAAATCCGCAAATTACCTCGGTCCGCTCGCGACGAGCCTTAAAAAGTAATCACACAAATGACAAAAGCGCCACCGTGCGTACGGCATTTATTCTCCGTCAAAGGGGACGAGGAACGAAAGTCTCGCGGCGAAAGGACCGGATCGTTTCAAGGACGCAATTAATGACGAAACAAATCCCAATCGGCGTTCCTTATTTTTCCGCTTATCGTGCTAATTAGTGCCGATTCCGGTCCCCGAGCAGAGCCTCGTCGTCCGACCAACACGCTGGAAAAGCCCGGGCTTTAATCACGGTCCTCGATCTCGAAACGTTTGCTCCGGTCGACCGATGTTTGTAGGACGCCGTGTATACACATGTAACACAAGCCTAAAGCCAGCCCCCTCCCGAAATCAATACTCGGCATTACACTGTTACTAAGGATTCCCATCCCCCATCGCCAGATTCACCCCCGTGCCAACCGCGGCCAACTCCGGCGCGGTTCAATGGCCAAAATACAGGACTCCGTGTGTTACATTTACTCGAAAACTTCGCCTGCATTGTCTCCGTTCTATTCATTGTCAGCTTCCCGCCCGATCGTTTGGAAAACCTACCCTGGTTTCACGGCTTTCACGGAGATCATCCCCCAAAATTATACAACCTCGCGGAATTTTCAGCAACGCGAAGATCCCGATTATCGTTCCGAGTATTAGGATAAATTTAATCTCCCTCGTTCGAGTCGAACGAGAAGAATTTGATTTATTTACGATAGCGTTCTCATGCTGCGCTCGGTTTTTATTCGTTCTTCGAAACGTACGTTTTTAATGTACGAGCGAAAAAAATAGCATGTGGCTCGAGCGATTCGTGTCCCGAGAAATAATCGGTTGATAAACCGTTTCCCGGGAATCGGAATTTTATGTATTTTGCAGCAAATGATTTTCTGCGCCTTATTTTATTCGCGCAGCATAAATTCGGTACGCTAACTTGCGCCGGTAAAGAGTAGAAAAAGTGGAGGCTGGCTTTACGATATTTGCAGTAAAGTTTTTAGTATTTCTTTTTATAGGTAAGAACGTTCTCCTCCGAAATGGATATCGCGATGCTAAAGTTAAATCGTACTATTCGTATGCTTCGATAATAAAAAACAAGAGAGAACGTTACATTTATCTTTCACTTACGCCCAGCGCAGAAACGCCACATACATATAGAGTCGCGGAGCCGTAA